CCGCCCCCCGGCGCAGGAGCTCTGCCCCACGGGGCCAGCCCAGCGACCTGACCTTCTGCGAGTGAGTGGGGCCGGGGCCGTGGGGAGGGGGCTGCGCGGGGAGGGGGCTCCCCCTGAGCCTCCCTCTGCCCTGGCAGGATCATCCTGATGGAGATGGAGTCGCACGAGGAGGCCTGGCCCTTCCTGGAGCCCGTCAACCCCCGCCTGGTGCCCGGCTACCGCAGGGTCATCAAGAACCCCATGGACTTCGCCACCATGCGCGCCAGGCTGCTGCGGGGCGGGTGAGCGGGGCCGGCGTCCTTTGTGGGGCTGGGGGCTCCTCCCCGGGCTGGGGGTTCCTCCAGGGTCCTTCGCAGGGCTTGGGTGTCCCTCCCAGATGAGCAGTGTCCCTCGAAGGGATGGCCTTTGTGGGTTTGGGGGTCCATCAGGGCTGCCAGGGTCCCTCACAGGGGTTGGGTGTCCCTCCCAGGGATAACTTGTGGGTTTAGGGGTCTATCCAGGGCTGCCAGGGTCCCTCACAGGGGTTGGGTGTCCCTCCCAGGGATTACCTTTGTGAGTTTGGGGGTCCATCAGGGCTGGCAGGATCCTTCTCAGAGGTTGGGTGTCCCTCTCAGGCCACTGGTGTCCCTCAGAGGGATGACCTTTGTGTTTCTGGGGGTCCCTGCTGAGCGTGAGGGTCCCTCACAGGCCCCTTGGGGTTGGGGCTGCCCGGGATCCCTCCCAGGTTTGGGGTCTCTGAGAGATCAGCTCCCTTCCCCACCATGAGGGTCTTGTGGGACCACCAGGGTTTGCTCCCGGGGATGGGGGCCCACCCTGGCCACGGAGGTTCCTCTTGGGAATGGGGGTCCCTCCAGGGCTGTTGGGGTCTCCCCTGGGCTTTGGGGGGTCTTTGCTGGGACCCCATCCCCTCCTGGGAATGGGGTGGATGGGCTCTGCTGGGGATTTGGGGATCAGTTCCCCTCCCAGGTCTCCCTGATGGGGACGGGGTTGGGGGGTCCCGTGGGGGTCCCGGCCGCCCCCCACCCACCCCGTGCATCCCTCAGGTACTCGAGCTCGGCCGAGTTCGCCGCCGACGCCCTTTTGGTGTTCGACAACTGCCAGACCTTCAACGAGGACGACTCGGCCGTGGGCCGCGCCGGCCACGCCATGCGCCGGTTCTTCCAGAGCCGGTGGGAGGAATTTTATCAGGGAAAACGCGCCCCCAACCCCTGAGTGGGGGGCTTGGGGGTCTCCCCGCGCCCCCAACCCGTGAGTGGGGGGCTTGGGGGTCTCCCCGCACCCCCACGAACTGCCTCCTCCTCTGGAGCTGCTCTCGCTGCCTGCTGATCCCACATTTGGGGAGGGTCTTGCTCCCCCCACCCCACCCAACCCCACAAAAGCTCCGGCAGCGTGAACGGGCCCCCCCAAAACCCTCCCCACAATGCGGCCCCTTCCCGCTGCCCGGACCGACCCCCCACCTCCCCAAAATCCCGCCAGGTTCCGCCCCCCACCACCACCACCACCCCGTCCCCCCTTTTTTTCCAGCACCACAAACTCACAGATTTGTGTAAGCCAAAAAAAAAAAAAAAAAGGAAAAAAACACAAAAAAAAACAAAAAAAAAAAAAAAAAAAAGGGGGGTTTTTTTTTTTTTCCTTGCTTTCTTTCAAATTTCATTTTCGAATTAAGAGCAGAAACAGGCCCCACCGCACCACCACACCTTGTCCCCCACCCACCCCCCCAAAAAAGGGGGAGAACCCCCTCCCCACTTGGGAATATTTAACGATAGCAATAGTTTAGTGAATGTCCGAGCACTCCTGTGCATCGTCTCATGCATTAACGGCCAGTAAAGTGGACTTAGCCCCCCCCACCCCGGCCGGGACCCCCCCCGCCCACGCAGACACTTTACGGGGAGGGGGACCCCCGGTGCAGCCCCCACCCCACCCCCCTCTGCCCTCGGACCCCTCCCCACCCGGCTCCAGGGACCAAAACTGGGGAGGGCCGAGGTGGGGGGGGGTCCCGGCACCCCCCCCTTTCCCTGCCCCCACTTCTCAGGAAGAGCCCGGCCCCCCCTCCCCGCCGTGGGGGGCTGGGGGGGGGTCCTGGCCGCCCCCTCGCCCCTCAGGGATGCTCCTGCAAGCCCCGGGGTGTGGGGGGGGTGGGGGTCCAGCCCCCTGCCCCCCACCCCCCACCCACCCCCCCCATGGACTTGAAGCCTCAGGCGGGTGTGACCCCCCCAACCCCATTGGTGGGGGGGGGGTTGCAATGGGTGGGGAGGGGTCCTGAATTTGGGGCAGGGGTCTCCCCCCATGTTTGGGGGTGGCCAGGACCCCCCCCATGCCCAGCCCGGCAGCCCCCCCCAGCCAGGATATTACGGGTACTCGCTCTGGGGGTCCTGCGGCCAGAGGGGCTTTTTTGGGGGGGGGGTCCCGGCGCGTCCCCCCCTCCCCAGGCCCCGCAGAGCACTGAAAACAACTCACCTACCTGGGCAGGGGGGGTCCGGCCGCGCCCCCCGCCCCCCAAAACCCCCCCACCCCCGTCTCAAAGTAGCCTTTTTTCTATCAGATAAACCTCAGAAACTTTTTATTTTATTTTATTTTTTTGCTTTGAAACTAAGAGGTGATTTGAAGTCTATTTGAACTGACTTTATATTACGCATAAATATTTATATTTTATCTAAATAACTGCGCTGTAAACGGACTTTTTTTGTGGTTTTAAGTCACGTTTTCGGATCCGTCAGGTTTTTTTTTTTTTTTGGGTTGGTTTTTTTGGTTTTTTGGGTTTTTTTTTTGTTTGGTTTTTTTGGTTGGTTTTTTTTTTTGTTGTGGGAAACTTTTTCGGGAGTCTCCGTATCGTTCTCGTGTTCGTTCAGTTAAAAGTTGCCCCCCTCCTTTCCCTCTGCCCCCTCCTCACCCCAGTTTGACACCCCCCACCCCCAAAAATCTCCCCCCGGCTGCCCCCCACCCCCTCAGGGGGGCTGGGGAGGGGCTGGGGGGGGGGGTCTCTCTTTGTCCTCCCCCCTCCTCCGCCGCCTTTTCTATTACCAGCCGTGTTGTTTTAGTGACTTTTTGATAATTGTACAGGTTTTTGTGAATTTAAATTTATTTCTTTCTATATTTTTAGGACCAATCTCGTTTTTGATAAGGTTTAGAGGAGGGGGGCGGCCCCCCCCAACCCCCGCCCTCCTCGCTGTTGCCTGTTGATGTCCCCCCACCCCAACCCCGACCCCCACCCCGACCCCCTCCCCAAAAAAGTTGTAGGACCCCCCCCCACCCCACCCCACCCGCGTGTTGCGTTCGAGAATAAAAAACTCACGTTTGATAAACACACCGTGGTCCGATTTTTTTTTTTTGGGGGGGGGGGGGTTGGGACCCCTGAATTTGGGGAGGGGGGCTTTGTGGGATTCCCTTCCCCCACCCTTTTCTCACCACACAAAACGCTTTTTTTGTCCTTTTCTTGCCATTTTTTATTTAGAAAAAAAAAAAAAAACCCAACCTCGAAGGGGGGGGTGTCGGGTGGAGTGGGGGGGGGTCGCGGGGGTGTTTTTTGGGTGTGGGGGGGGTCGCGGGGGCGAGCGCGGAAGCAGGAGGAAGAAAATACAAAACTAGAAACCTCTCGAGATTTTTTTTTTTTTTTTTAAAAAAAAGCAACTTAAAAACCTGTACAAAATGCGCTACGTATAAATTAAAGGGGGGGCCTGGGGCGGGGGGGGTCTCGGGGAAAATGTTGGGGGGGCGCGGGGGTCTCGGCTTTTCCTTGGCAGCTCGAGTTCCCCCCCCCCCCCCCCAAAACAAAACCCAGGACCGATGGGACCCCAAATCTCAGCCCCCCCTCCAAACCAGCAGCGGGGTGGGGGCTCAGCACGGGGGTCCCAGCGCCCCCCCCAGCCCCGAGGGGGGGTCCAGGGGAAGGGGGGGGGGGTCTCCCTCTTTGGTTCCTTCCTTGGGGGGGCCACAGCCCCCCGACCAAAGGGGCCGTGCCCGGGGGGGGCCGGGCCGTAGCAGCAACGGGGGGGGGGGGGAGGTGGGTGATGGCTGAAACCGGTGGGGAGGGGGCGTCACCCCGGGGGAGGGGGGGGGGGGCAAAGCGCTGAACCCCCCCCCGACACCCCCAGACCGGGGCTGGGCGCCCCCCGAGCTGTGGGGTGAGGTAGATGTGTGGCGGGGGGGGGGGTGGGGGTCCTGGGGACCCCTGTGGGGACCCCACTGCAATTTGGGGAGGGGGGCTGGAAGAACCGGGAGGCCCCTGGGCAGAACTGGGGGGGGGGCACGGCCGGCCCCGGAGCTGGAAGCGATTTTGGGGGGGGGGTGTCTGGGATTTGGGGGGGACGGACGGACAGACCCCCGGTGAGGGGGTGCGAAGCATTTTTTTGGGGGGGGGTGGGGCTGCTCAGCTTCCCCCCCACCCCGCGACCCCCCCCAATCTTTGGTTGCAAGCGCCGCCCCCGTGGGACCCCCTGATTGTCGCTGGGTGTGGCGGGGGGGGGACAGCGGGGATGGGGGGCCGGGGTCCCCCCGGGGGGGGCGCGGGGGCTTTAAAGTGCCTGCTTGACCCTCGGGGCGCCCGTCGAAGCTGAAGGTTGGGGGGTGGGGGGCGTTTTGGGGGGTTTTTGGGGGGGTTATTGCACTTGACCGACCCCCCCGGGGCAGGAATGGCTGGGGGGGGGAGGGGGTGGGGAGGGGGAGGGGAGCACCCCCGGCCCTGCGGGGGGGCTGCGCCCGGAGATTGGGGTGGGGGGGGTCTCCATGGCCCCCCCAGCACCCCGGACCCCGGGCCGGGGGCACCGGGCAGCAGAAGGCACGGGGGGCACCGGGGCCGGCGGGGCCGCGGGCCCTGGAAGCACGAAAAGGGGGGGGGGCGGCCGGGACCCCCGGTCCCCCCCACCCCGGGGCAGCGCGCGGCGGCGGCGGCGGTTTTTGCCTTTTTTTTTCCGGTTTTTTTGCCTTTTTTTTTTTTTTTTTTTTGCCTTTTTTTTTTTTGTTTTTTTTTTTTGCTTTTTTTCCTTTTTTCCTTTTTTTTTTTTTCTTTTTTTGCCTTTTTTTTTTTTTTCATGTATGGAATTTTTTTTTTTCCTTTTTTAGTTTTTTAGAAAACGCGGGAGGAAGAAAAGCCCTCCGAGGGGGGGGGGAGGTGGGGGTGGATATTGGGGGGGGGCAGCGGGACCCTCCCCGCACCCCAGAGCTGGGACCCCCCCACCCCACCCCGGGCTCGGGGACCCCCGGCCGGGGCTCGGCTGCGGTTTGGGGGGGGTGGGCACCGGGCGGGGGTCCCGGCGCGGCCCCTCCCAGAGGATTTGGGGGGGTCCCTCAGGCCGGGCCCCCCCCGCCGCTACTTGGGGTAGGGGTAGGGGAAGGCGCCGGGCTCGGACGGGGACTCGATGGGGCCGTGGGTGGGGGCGGCTCCGCCGTCCTGTGGGGAGGGGTTAATGCACCCCCAATACCCTGCAACCCCAAAAATCCGGCACCCCAAAAATCCTGCACCCCCAAATCCTGCAACCCCAAAACTCTGCACCTCCAAACCCTGCAACCCCAAAAATCCTGCACCCCCAATACCCTGCAACCCTAAAAATCCTGCACCCCAAAAATCCTGCACCCCCAAACCCCGCACCCCAAACCCCGCACCCCCAAAAATCCTGCACCCTCAAACCCTGCACCCCCAAAATCCTGCTCCCTCAAACCCTGCACCCCCAGTACTCTGTACCCCCAAATCCTGCAACCCCAAACCCCGCACCCCAAACCCCGCACCCCCAAACACTGCACCTCCAAACCCTGCACCCCCAAATTCTGCAACCCCAAAACTCTGCACCTCCAAACCCCGCACCCCAAAAATTTTGCACCCCCAATACCCTGCAACCGTAAAAATCCTGAACCCCCAAACCCCGCACCCCAAACCCCCCAGCCTCACCTCCAGCGGCAGCGCGGGCGGCACCGGTGGGTACGGCGGGATGAAGGCTCCGGGGACGGCGGCGGCAGCGGGGACGTACTGGGGACAGCGGCGGGGGGAGGTCAGGGGGGCCCGGGGAGGGGTCCCGGGGGTTTTGAGGGGGGGTCTCGGGGGGGTCTTACCGTGCCAGCGCTGCCCAGAGAGAGGTGGCCGAGCTGCTGGGCCAGGGGGGCCACCACAGAGGGCTGGAGGGGGACAGCGTGGTCCACGGTGGGGGCCAGCACCGCGCCCTGCACGGCAGCGTCAGCGCGGGGACACGGGGACACGGGGACACGGGGGGACATGGGGGACATGGGGGGGACATGGAGGACAGGGGGGACATGGGGGACATGGGGACATGGGGGACATGGGGGGACATGGAGGACAGGGGGGACATGGGGGATATGGGGGATATGGGGGGGACATGGGGACATGGGGACATGGGGGACATGGGGGACATGGGGGCATGGGGGACAGGGGGGACACGGGGCATGGGGGGACATGGGGACATGGGGGATATGGGGGACATGGGGGGATATGGGGGGCATGGGGGACATGGGGGATATGGGGGACATGGGGGATATGGGGGGCATGGGGGACATGGGGGGGACATGGGGACATGGGGGACAGGGGGGCATGGGGGACAGGGGGGCATGGGGGGACAGGGGGGACATGGGGACAGGATCTAGGGGGACACAGGGACAGGGGTCATGGGGACAGGACCTAGGGGGACACAGGGACAGGGGTCACGGGGACACTGAGGGTACATGGAGGGGGACACAGGGAAAGGGACTGTGGGGACACACGGGGCATGGGACACAGGGGACATGGGGGACACTGGGGGGACACGGGAGGGACACAGGGACATGGGGGTCACTGGGACATGGGGGACACTGGGGGGACACGGGAGGGACACAGGGATATGGGGGTCACTGGGACATGGGGGACTCTGCAGCCATGGGGAGGGGACAGGACCCAGGGACCCCCAAAGTGAGCCCCAAATGGGCGGGGCCTGTGAAATGTGGGTGTGGCTTTCTGGCAAAGTGGGAGGGGTTTGGCTGCAGGGGGTGGAGCAAAAGTGGGTGGGGCAGGGGCGGGGCTCCAGTAGCCCCTCCCCTATCAGGGCGGGGCAGGGTGGGTGGGGCAGATCCACAGGGGTTCCCACCCCTCCCTCCCTCCAGGCGTGGCACCAGCGTGGCACCAGGTGTGGCACCGGGCGTGGCACCGGGCGTGGCATTGGGCGTGGCACCGGGCACGGCACTGGGTGTGGCACGAGGCATGGCACCGGGCGTGGCACCGGGCGCTGCTCACCGTGGGCTGCACGAGGTAGGACTGGTGCATCCAGGCGGGGCCGTGGACCTGTGGGTGACAGCGGGTGGGAGCAGCTGGGGGTCCCCCAGCCCTGCCCCAGGTGGGGACCCCCACCCCGCAGGACCCCCCGTGCCCCCCGTACCCCCGTACCTGGTAGGAGGAGACCGGGGAGGGCAGGTAGGGGGCCAGGGCGGCGGGGGGCAGCATCCGGCCGGGGGCCAGCCCGTAGGGCGCGGGGTAGAACCTGCGGGGCGGGGGGTCAGGGCTGGGGGGGCCGCGGCCCGCAGCCCCCGCCCCGCCGGGCCCGGGGGGGCCCTGGGGCACCCACCCGTTCTGCAGCGCCGCCGCGGGGTCGTAGGCCAAGGTCACGGTGCCCTGCGGGGGATAGGAGTAAATAAAAGGGTGTGAATAAAAATAGAAAACACATATAAGTATCAACTAAAATAAATAAATTTTAAAATATAAAATAATGATTAATATTAATATATTGAAATTAATTAATTAAAATATATGTCAATAGAAGTACATAAATAAAGTAAATTTAAATATAAATTTTAAGAATAAGGTAAAATATAAAATAATATTAATATATAAGATAAATATATTAAAATATATGTAAATAGAAGTATGTAAATAAAAATATTAAATAAATATAAATAAAAGGACTTAAGTTTTCCTACATGTATAAGTTGCAATTATAAATATATATAATATATTGTTTCCTATATATTATACAGTACATTATATATTATATATATTACATTATATATTATATATTATATATTATATATATTACATTATATATTATATATTATTTATTGTAGATTATATGATAATGATACATGATAATGATATATTTTATATTATATGTTATATATTATACATTATAACAATATATACGTATATAAATATTACATTATATACAAATTAAAATATAAAATAAATATAAATGAAAGTAATCTTTTACCATATAAACTATATATATAATATATGAAAGTATATATAAGATATATCTATTATTATATATAATATATTACATTACATTATCTCGCATTACATAACATTACATTATTTTATATTACATTATATATTATATGAATTATATTATATTATATTATATTATATTATTACATTAACTATATTATATTATATGTAAATTAATGAAAATAGAATTATTTTTAAAGCGTGTAATTTTTTATATAAATAAACTATACGTATAAATATATATTATATATATACAAATTATATGTTATCTATAATATATATATTATATATTGTGGCTTTGTCAGCTCTGTCAGTGATATATATAAAAATTTACATTAAAATAATAACTTGCCTAATAAATAACAGTTTATTTAGCAATTTATCACACTTATTTAATGCAGCTTTAATATTACATGAAGCACTATTAACATTTTATAAAATAATTAAGCTTTTTCAAAAATTAAAAAAATCTCTTATAGTAACTGCAAAAAATACAACTGTTGTACATAAAACTAAAAAAAAATTATACCAAAATGTTCTATTTTTATATAAAGTATAATTTAAAGTAACATTTATAATTTTATTTTTACTTTACCTTTTAAAAATATCATATTGCATAAGTTTATTAATATAATTATATAAATAATGTATTTATCATATTAAATTTAATACATTTACATTATATATATAATAATTTTTATATATACATACTTTTTTATATATACATATATATTTTTTCATATTTATATAATTGTTTTATATATACATATAATATATATATTTATACTTTTTTACTAAAAAATATACGCATTTATACTTTTTTACTAAACTAAAAATTAAAATATTAATTATTAATAATTATAATTCTTAAAATTAATATTTAATTATTATAATTATTAATAAAAATATTAATATTATACAGCTTTTTTTTTCCTTAAAATTCACAAAATTTTCTTTTAAAAATTCAGTCTAAACACCTCATTTTTTTCATAAAATCTGTAAGAAAATATAAAATAAATGTTAAGAGCCCCAGAGGCGTCCCCCGCTCACCGTGTCGCCGTCCCGGGCCCAGGCTCTGCCGTTGGACACGAACTTGCCCTGGCTCTGCCGCTTCTTCTGCCCCCCATCAGCGAACTTGCAGAGCAGGGGGTCTGGGGGGGCTGAGGAGGGGGTATCAGTGCTGCCCCCCCCCCCAGCACCCCCAAAATGCCCCCCCGGGACCCCCAAACCCACCTGGCACCCCCGGGGGGGTTTTGATGAACTTCCCGTTGAAGTGGGTGATGACGGCCTCGCACTTCTCCGTGGATTCCATCCTGGGGGCAGCGGGGCTGGGCCGGGGGGGCCGCATGGGGGGCACCCCCAAACCCCCTCTGCCCCCTCCCCAGCCCCCTGCGCCCCCCTCGATTCCCGTCCCCCAAACCCTTCATCCTTGCAGGCTTCCCCATCCCACTGTGCCCCCCAAAACTCCCCCAAGTCCACACCCCCCCTGCGCTCCCCATCCTCCTCAGCCCCCCAACTCTGGAAGCCCCCCCCAAGTCCCTGTCACCCTTCCCATCCTCCTGAGCCCCCCCAAATCTGTGCAGACCCCCAGAGTCCTTGCTCCCCCCAAACCTCTTCAGCCCCCCCATCCCCTACAGCCCCCCAAATGTCCCTGTCCCCCCCAGGACTCCCCATCCTCCTGAGCCCCCCCTCATCCCCATCTACCCCCCATCTCTGCAGCCCCCCAGCTCTGGAAGCCCCCCCAAGTCCCTGTCACCCTCCCCATTCTCCCAAGCCCCCCCAGCCCCATCTACCCCCCACCTCTGCAACCCCCAGCTCTGGAAGCCCCCCCAGTTCTCTGCAGCCCCCCCAAGTCCTTGTCCCCCTAAAACCGTCCCCATCCTCCTGAGCCCCCCAAATCTCTGCAGACCCCCTAAATCTCTGTCCCCCCAACCCTCCCTATCCTCCTGAGCACCCCCATTGCCTGTAGCCCCCCAAATCACTGCAGCACCCCCTAAGTCCTTGTCCACCCAGCACTGCCCATCCTCCTGAGCACCCCCATTGCCTTTAGCTCCCCAAATCTCTGCAGACCCCTAAGTCCTTCACCACCCCAGCCCTCCCTATTCTCCTGAGCCCCCCAGATCTGTGCAGCCCCCCCCAAACTTGTGCAGCCCCCCAAGTCCCTATCCCCCCCAACTCTCCCCATGGTTCTGAGCTCCCCCAGCCCTATATACCCCCACCCCCTGCAGCCCCCCCAGAGTACCAATCCCGCCGGGCCCCCCATACCGTGCGAAGCCCACCCCCCGGCTGGCCCCGTGGGGGTCCCGCAGGATGCGGGTGGAGACCACCTGCCCGAAGGGCTTCAGCAGCGCCTCCAGCTCCTGCTCGTCCACGCCCAGCGGCAGGTTCGAGATGTACAGGTTGGTGGGGTCCTGCTCCTGTTGCTGTGGGGAGGGGGTCAGGGGGCTGCCCGGGCTCCTGGCGGGGGTCCCGGGGGGCTCTGGGGGTCGGTGGGGGTAGGGGGGATCCATACCTTGGCCATCTGTGCCTGCACCCCGCTGGCCTTCAGGGCCGTCACGGCTTTTTGGGCGGCTGTGGGGCTGTCAAAGTCCACGAAACCATAGCCTGGGGAGGGGGGAGAGGTCAGGGAGACCCCCCAAAACCCCCCCGGACCCCCCCTCCAGCCCTGCTGCCCCCCAACCTTTGCACTTGTTGGTTGTTTTATCCAGGATGGCTTTGGTGGAGACGATCTTCCCATAGCTGGGGGGAGGAAAAGGGGGTGTCAGAACCCATGGGACCCCCAGCCCCCCCCGAGGGGCTGTGGGGGCAGGGGGGGTCAGAACCCAGCGGGACCCCAGCCCCACTCACGGCTGGCAGAGCTTGACCAGGTCCTGGTCCGTGGTGCCGGGGTGCAGCCCCCGGATGTAGAGGTTGGTCTTGCTGAGCTGGTCCGGGGCCCCCCCGGCTGGGCTGGGGCTGGGGGGGCCCAGGGGCTGGGCCGGGGGCACATAGGGCTGCTGGGGGGGGGTGGGGGGCTCAGCACCCACCTCGGCTCTGCTGCAGCCCCCCAAAACCCTCCCCTCCCCAAGGAGACCAAGTGGATGTGGGGAGGGGCTGCCAGAACCCACCCAAAGGGGTTCAGCCCCCCCCCCCCAACTCGGGGAACCCCCCAGCACTCCCGGGCCCCCCAGAGCCCCTCAGCCCCCCGGGAACGCCGTCACCACCCACGGGAACCCTGGACCCCATCATTTCCCCCCAACCCCATTATCTCCCTCTGGACCCCATTATCTTACCCAGACCCCATTATCTCCCCCCTGGACCCCATTATCTCCCCCCTGGACCCCATTATCTCACCCTGGACCCCATCATTTCCCCTCAACCCCATTAGCTCACCCTGGGCCCCATCATCTCAGCCTGGACTCCATTATCTCACCCCAACCCCATTATGTCCCCCCAACCCCATTATGTCCCCCCAACCCCATTATCTCACCCTGAACCCCATCATTTCCCCCTGACCCCATTATCTTACCCTGGACCCCATTATCTCCCCCCAACTCCATAATCTCAACCTGGACCCCATCACTTCCCCCCTGGACCCCATTACCGACCCCATTATTTCCCCCAACCCCATCATCTCCCCCCGACCCCATTATCTCCCCATCATCCCCCCAACCCCCGCGGCTCCCCACCCTCCCCTCCCGGGGGTCCCCATTTCTCTTCCTACAGACCCCCCACCCCCTTCCCCCGCCCGGGACCCCCCGACCCTCCCCTCACCCCACTCTGGGGCTCCCCATCTTTCCCCCCTGCCCCCCATCCCGGGGGTCCCCCTCACCCCACAGGGGTGTCCCGTTCCCCCCGCCCCAAATCCCTCCCCCGTTCAGCTCGGGGTGTCCCGGAGGGGGGGAGGGGGTGACGATGTGTGCGACCCCCCCCCCCGGCACCACTGACCGGGGGCGGGGTGGGTAAACTGAGGCACGGACGGTGCGCGGCGGCGCGGGGGGGGCGAACACCCGGGACCCCCCGGGAGGAACGGAGCACCGAGCGCCGCCGGGTGTCCCCGTTCCGTTCCCGGTGTGTGTGTGAGGGGTGTCCCCCCACCCCCCCAACACCGTTTCCCATTCCCCGCCCCCCCTCCCCCCTTCCCCGGGCCTGTCCCGCCGGTCAGGCCCCGTCCCCGCCCCCACCGGGCCGGTCCCCCCGAGCCCCCCGTTCCACCGGGCCCGGTACCTTCTTGCCGCCCTTGTTGTAGGCGAAGGCGGGGAGCCCCGAGCGCGGCGGCACCGAGAGCAGCATTTTCCCGAGCGCGAGGGGCCGGGACCGGGCGTGACGTCACACCGGGAGCCAGCCTGGAATCCGGGCGGGCCCCGCCGCGCCGGGTCCTAGCGCCGGTCCCGCCCGGTGCTGCCCGTGCTGCTCCGGTGTGCCGCGTCACCCCCGCTGCTGCCCCGTTCCTCCCCCGTGTCACCCCCGGTGCTGCCCGTCCTGCTCCGGTGTCACCCCCGGTGCTGCCCGTCCCGCTCCGGTGTGCCGCGTCACCCCCGGTGCTGCCCCTTCCTCCCCGGTGTCACCCCCGGTGCTGCCCCGTTCCTCCCCCGGTGTCAACCCCGGTGCTGCCCGTCCCGCTCCGGTGTGCCGCGTCACCCCCCGGTGCTGCCCCGTCCTCCTCCGGTGTCACCCCCGGTGCCTCCCGTCACCCTCCGGTGCTGCCCCGTTCCTCCCCCGGTATCACCCCCCGGTGTCACCCCACCGGTGTCACCCCCGGTGCTGCCCCGTTCCTCCCCGGTGTCACCCCCGGTGCTGCCCGTTCTCCTCCGGTGTTCCCTGTCACACCCCGCTGCTGCCCCGTTCCTCCCCGGTGTCACCCCCGGTGCTGCCCCGTCCTCCCCCGGTGTCACCCCCGGTGCTGCCCCGGTGCCTCCCGTCACCCCCCGGTGTCACCCCCCGCTGCTGCCCCGTTCCTCCCCCGGTATCAACCCCCGGTGTCACCCCCCGGTGCTACCCCGTCCCTCTCCCGGTGTCACCCCACCGGTGTCACCCTCCGGTGTCACCCCCCGGTACTGCCCCGTCCTCCCCCGGTATTACCCCCGCGGTGTCACCCACGGTGCCTCCCGTCACCCCCCGGTATCACCTCCCGGTGTCACCCCCCGTTGTGACCCCGCGGTCCCGCCCGTCCCTCTCCCGGTGTCACCCCCCGGTGTCACCCCCGGTGCTGCCCGTTCTCCTCCGGTGTCACCCCACCGGTTTCACCCTCCGGTGTCACCCCCCGGTGCTGCCCCGTTCCTCCCCCGGTGTCACCCACCGTGACTCCCGTCACCCCCCCGGTATCACCCCCCCCGGTGTCACCCCCCGTTGTGCCCCCACCGGTCCCGCCCGTCCTCACCCGGTGTCACCCCCCGGTGTCACCCTCCGGTGTCACCCACCGGTGCTACCCCGTTCCTCTCCCGGTGTCACCCCACCGGTGTCACCCCCTGGTGCTGCCCCGTTCCTCCCCCGGTGTCACCCCCCGGTGCTGCCCCGTCCCTCCCCCGGTATCACCCCCCGGTGTCACCCCCCGGTGTCACCCACCGGTGCTACCCCGTTCCTCTCCCGGTGTCACCCCACCGGTGTCACCCCCCGGTGCTGCCCCGTTCCTCCCCCGGTGTCACCCGCCGTGACCCCCCCGGTATCACCCCCCGTTGTGACCCCCCCCCGGTGCTGCCCGTCCTCCCCCGGTGTCACCCCCCCGGTGCTGCCCGTTCTCTCCCGGTGTTCCCCGTCCTCCCCTGCCCAACCGGTGCTGCCCCTCGCCGCCCCCGGTGTCACCGGGGGTACCGCCTGTCACCCCCACCGGTGACCCCCGCCAGCCCCACGACAGCCAAGAACCCCCCGGGGGTCTCACGCCCACCCCCAAATGAGGAGTCCCCCCAGTGAGACCCCTCCAGACCGCCCGGGACACCGGGGGAACACCGGAGGGACACCGGGGGAACACCGGGGGGACACCGGGGGGACACGGCGGGGCGGGGGGTTAATCCCACCCCCATCCTCTGCCGCAGCGGAGTCAACCGGGATGGGGGGGGGTCATTCTCACGAACCCCCGGGGGGGCTGCACCCCCCGAGTCCCGCTCCGCACCGGGGGGATGTCACGGACTCCCCCAGCCCGGTACGGCGCGGCCCCTTTAAGGGAAGCCACGCCCACCTCCGCCATTGCCCCCTCGGCCCCGCCCCCCGCCCTCATCGTGGGCGTGGCCACTTTGGAAGCGCTGGTCACGTGGTTCCACGCCACGCCCCCGCCCGCCGCAATATTGGCGCCTTTCCTCCGTCACGTGACCGCGGCAGGCCCCGCCCCTCCATGAGGGAGCGCTGGGGCCGCCATCTTAGAGTCGGGAAAGGGAAAATTTGGGGGGCACCTGAGGGGTCTGGGGAGCACCTGAGGGGTCTGAGGAGCACCTGAGGGGGCTGGAGGGCGTCTTGGGGGGGTCTTTGGGGCGAGAATGGGGTTTCCAGTGGGCTCTGGGGTCTTCAAGGCAGGACTGAGGTGCGCTGGGGCCGCCATGTTGGAGTCGGGAAAGGGAGAATTTGGGGGGCCCCTGAGGGGTCTGGGGGGCACCCGAGGGGTCTGGGGGCGTCTTGGGGGGGTCTGGGGGTGACATTTGGGTTCCTAGCGGGGTCTGGGGTCTGCAGGGCAGGACTGGGGGGCGCTGGGGGTTCTGTAGAGTAGGATGGGGGCACCTGAGGGGGTCCCTGGGTGCCCACACAGCTGAGTGTGAAACGTAAATTTTAAGGAATTTAGAGGTTTTAGAGGAGCTCAGGTTTTAGTTAGAGATGTGAAAAATGCATGTGTTGTGATTGGCTTTTTGCAAATATTACAATGAATATTATATGTGTAATGTTAGAAAGTTATGCTGTATTAATTCTCTTAAGTAGTGTGTTAAATATAGTTTTAGGTTCCAACATAATGTTAAAATAGAGACTATGTATGTAGGGAGAGGGGTTTTTTTAAGAATTAGATACTCACTTTGAAGAACACCTAAATCTTCCAAAAGAAAAGAATTTATGGCTTCTTATCAGAAGAAACAAATTTCTTCAAGCCTTACTCAAACTCAAAGACACCATGGGGATTAAAAAAAACAATTGACATAAAACAGACAGAGTTTCTTGTTTTATAAAATAGTTATAAAAATAATAATACAATTAGAGTAATAATCTTTAGAGTTAGGACAATTACAAGACAATAAAAAGCAAAGAATTACGGACATCCGGATGCTCTCGGACACTAAGTTAGGAAAAGCATGCTTTGGGAAGAAAGGAATAACCTTAAAAACAATAACCTGTTGCATATTCATATATCCTTCATGGTTATGCATACATTCTATTTAAAACAAGAACTCTGTTGTATGTTAACTGTTTGTTTAATCCCCATGGCGTCTTCCAGTCGAGCAAGGCCTGAAGAAATTAGTTTCTTCTGATAAGAAAGCCATAAATTCCTTTTCTTTGGAAGATTTAGGTGTTCCTTGAAGCGAGTATTTAATTCCTAAAAAAGAAAAAAACCACTCCCCCCACATCCATAGTCTCTATTTTAACATTATGTTGGAACCTAAAACTATATTTAACACGCTACTTAAGAGAATTTATAGAGCATGACTTCCTAACATCACACATATAATATTCATTGTAACATTTGCGAAAAGCCAATCTTAAAATCTTCATTTTTCACAGTGGGATTGGGGGTGCTGGGGGCACCTCGGGGGGAGTCTGTGAGGGAGAAGGGGGCACCTGGAGGAGTCTGTGGGGAGGGTTGGGGGGTCACAGAACACTTGGGGGGCTCTGTGGGGCATAGTGGGGGCACCTGAGCTGTAGAACAGGCCTGGGAGTTGTAGGGGGGTCTGTAGGGCAGGGTTGGGGGGATCACGGGGCACCTGAGGGGTCTACAAGACAAGATTGGGGGGGGTCTTAGGGCATCTGGGGGGGTCTGTAGGGCTTGGTGGTCCCCAGAGGGTCTGTGGGGTGACACAGAACCCCAGGAACATTCTGTCGGGACAGAATTGGGGTCCCAGCCCTGGCACCAAGCTCAGCCGGAGGGACAGGGACAGCACGGGGGTGGCACAGGGTCTTGGGGACCCCCCTCCACATTGTCACCCCAAATGTCCCCTCCCTGTGTCCCCTCCCCGTGACGGTCCCACCACAGTGCCTACCCCGGGGTGTTCCTCATGTGTCCCCATCGAGTGTCCCACTCATCTCCCCTCCCCATTGTCCCCCCTCATATCCCCCTGCGTGTCCCCCACATTTACCCCCCGTATTCCCCCTGGAGCCCCCACCAACCCCCCAGGGCTGTTCCCCCTGGATAGAACCCCCCAAACCCCCCAGGGCTGTCCCCCCCATGGATAGAACCCCCCAAACCCCCCAGGGCTGTCCCCCCACATGTCCCCCCCTGGATAGAACCCCCCAAATCCCCCAGGGCTGTGCCCCCACATATCCCCCTTAGATAGAACCCCCCAAAATCCCCCAGGGCTGTCCCCCCACATGTCCCCCTCATATAGAACCCCCCAAATCCCCCAGGGCTGTCCCCCCACATGTCCCCCCTGGATAGAACCCCCCAAATCCCCCAGGGATGTCCCCCCACATATCCCCCTCTGACAGAACCCCCCCAAACCCCCCAGGGCTGTCCCCCCTGGATAGAACCCCCCAAACCCCCCAGGGCTGTCCCCCCACATATCCCCCTTAGATAGAACCCCCCAAACCCCCCAGAGCTGTCCCCTCAGTGTCCCCCAAATGTCCCTCCCAGATAGAACCCAACCCCAGGGCTGTCCCCTCAGTGTCCCCCTCCAACAGAACCCCCCCAAACCCCCCGGGGCTGTCCCCCCACATGTCCCCCTCATATAGAACCCCCCAAATCCCCCAGGGCTGTCCCCCCACATGTCCCCCCTGGATAGAACCCCCCAAATCCCCCAGGGCTGTCCCCCCACATGTCCCCCTCAGATAGAACCCACCCCCCAGAGCTGTCCCCTCAGTGTCCCCCTCCGCCAGAGCCCCCCCAGGGCTGTCCCTTCAGTGTCCCACTCAGATAGAACCCCCCCAAACCCCCCAGGGCTGTCCCCTCAGTGTCCCACTCCGCCAGAACCCCCCCCCAAACCCCCCGGGGCTGTCCCCCCGGTGTCCCCCGCGTGTCCCGGCGCTGTCGCAGCCCTTTGTGCCCGCGGATTGTTCTGGCTTTGCCGGGCTCAGCAGCCCGGGCCCCCCCGTGCTGAGCCAGGGCTTCACCCGCTGACTCACCGGTGCTGAGCCGGCAGAGCCCCGGCCCGGGGGGGCACCGGGGCTGCCCCCGGACCCCGCCCGCCGCCCCCACGGGCACCGCGGAGGGGTCAGCCCGGCCCGGAGCTCGTCCCGGGTGTGTGACCCCCCCGGGGACATCCCTGTCCCTGAATTGTGGCAGGTCTGTGACCCCCCCGGGGACATCCCTGTCCCCATCCTTGTCCCAGGTGTGTGACCCCCCCGGGGACATCCCTGTCCCCATCCTTGTCCCAGGTGTGTGACACCCCCAGGATCAGCCCTGTCCCCATCTTTATCCCAGGTGTGTGACACTCCCGGGGTCATCCCTGTCCCCATCCTTGTCCCAGGTGTGTGACACCCCCAGGGTCACCCCTGTCCCCATCTTTATCCCAGGTGTGTGACACCCCCGGGGTCACCCCTGTCCCCAGTTTTGTCCCAGGTGTGTGACACCCCCGGGGACATCCCTGTCCCCATCCTTGTCCCAGGTGTGTGACCCATCCCGGTCCCCCTGCCAGAGACAGCCCTGTCCCCATCTCCATCCACGTGTGCCACCCCTCCTGTTGCCCCACCAGGGACCCTGTCCCCACTCTTGTCCCAGGTGTGTGACATTGCCACCCCCCTACCAGAGCGTGTCCCTGTGCTCATCCCAGGTGTGTCACCCTGTCCCCTGTGACCCCCTCAGTCCCCCCAGGACCCTGTCCCCCCTGTGCTCACCCCAGGTGTGTCACCCTGTCCCCTGTGACCCCCTCAGTCCCCCCAGGACCCTGTCCCCCCTGTGCTCATGCCAAGTGTGTCACCCTGTCCCCACTCTCACCCCAGATGTGTGACCCCCCCTCATCCCTCCCAGCCTTTCATCCCGGCTTTCATCTCTGGTTGTCCTGGCAACACCCCAAAGGGTCCCGGGGGTTGCCATGGCACCCAGGGATGCTCCAAGTCCAAGCCAAGGACCCCCACAGCCCCCTCCCAAAATCCTGCCCCACCCTCAGCACCGCAGGGTTGCCCTAAGCCCAGGGGGTGGCAGTGCTGGGGGGTGACAGGGACAGGGGTGGCAGTGCCAGGGGGCAGGAGGTGCCCCTGCCCTGGGTGTGCTCTGCTCTCCCCTCTCCCACAGCTGCACCATGGCCATCGGGGAGGTAAGACCCTGCGAGCGGCCCTGACCCCCCAGCCCCCCCAAAGCCACAGCCCCACTCCCTCCGTGCCAGGGGGGTGGGTGAGCAGCCCCTAACTCATGGAGACTCTCCAAACCTGTCACCTCGGTGCCCAGCCCGCAGCTCTGGCACAAGGGTCTCTGTGTGCCCCCCACCATGGCCCTTGTGGCTGCTGTCCCCACCTTCATCCCTGTGACCCCCCGTGGCCCCATTGCCAGGACACTGTTCCCATTGTCCCCACCGCAGTGCCCAAGGACTGAGGGGTCCCATCCTTGAGGTACCCCATCCCCGTGGTACCTGGGGCATCGTTTCCACAGCACCCCATTGCCCCGGTACTCCCCACTGCGGTGCCCAGCTGCTGAGGGGTCCCATCCCCGAGGGACCCCACCTCTGATGTACCCCATCCCCATGGGTACCCAAAATCTGGGGCGTCCTGTTGCCAGGGCACCCCATCACCAGGGTACCCATCACTGAGGGACCCCCCCACTGTGGTACCCCGGTGCTGGGGGGTGCTCTCACGAAAATCCCCCATCACCCTGGTACCCAAAAACTGGGGCATCCTGTTGCCATGGCACCCCACCCCCCGAACACCCAATCCTTGTGCACCCCACCCCTGAGACACCCCATCCCCAAAGCCCCCCGTCCCCGTGTCACCCCCTCTCTGTGCCACCCGCTGCTGGCAGTGCCCGTGGGGTGACCCCCGGCCCCGCTGTCCCCCAGGAGCTGCGCAGCGGCCGCTTCTGGCGGGGGGTGCTGGCGGAGCTGACGGCGACCCTCATCTTCGTGGGGGTGGTCCTGGGGGCTTCGGCAGCCCCCGGGCCACTGGCACCGGCGCTGGCCGGGGGGTTGGTGGCCGGGGGGCTCGTCTGCACCCTCGGGGGTCCCCAGGCCAACCCCGCGCTGACGCTGGCCCTGCTGTGCACCCGCAAGATGAGCGCCCTGCGCGGGGTCGTGGGGGTCCTGGCCCAGTGCACGGGGGCCACACTGGCCTCTGCTGCTGCCCGAGCCACGCTGCTGGATGACAGCAGCCTTGTCACCAGGGTGAGTGACCCCCATCGCCATCACCAGGGTGAGTGACCCCCATCCCCATCCCTGTCACCTGGCACTGCACAGGTGTCCCTCCCGCAGGTGAGCGCGGTGGGGACAGCGGGGACAGCGCTGGCCTGGGAGACCTTTGCCACCTTCCAGCTGGCACTGGCCGCCTTCGCCGCCGCCGAGCACGCGGCCCCGCAGGCCGGGCTGGCCCTGGGCAGCGCCGTGGCCGCCGGTGCCTTGGCCGCAGTAAGGACCCCCCGTGTCCCACCCACTCAGGGGGTCCCCACTCCAGCAGCCCCTGACCCCCCCCTGTGTCCCACAGGGGCCGTTCTCGGGGGGCAGCATGAACCCCGCGCGCTCGCTGGGGCCGGCCGTCGTCACCGGTGTCTGGGATGATCACTGGGTGAGTTGGGGGCACCCTTGGGCCCCCCAGAGTCCCCAAATAAGGGTGAGTCCCCCGGCTGCAGCGTGTGACCGCTGCGGCCCCATTCCCAACCCAGACAGCGGTTCCTGCTCTTCCCTTCCCTGGGCTGGGTCCCCCTGGGGTAAGTCAGCACCAGCTGTGTCCCCCAGGGTGTCACCATCGCAGGACCGGTGTGTCCCCGCTATTGCCATCCTTGGCACAAGCCCCACCTCATCCCCATCCTCGGGCTGGGCCCCCTTCCCCAGTCCCCGTACCCCAAACAAGTGACACCCCCTCCCCACGGCTGCCCTCATCCTCTGCTCGGTTCCATCGCTGGGATGGGGTCCCCCCGTCCCTGGGACACCCCAACTCCCTGTGCCCCTCCAGGTGTACTGGCTGGGGCCGGTGCTGGGTGCGCTGCTGGCCGGGCTCTCCTACGAGCTCATCCTGGCGCCCGGAGCCTCCCGGGAGAAGCTGAGCGCCTGCCTCGCCTGCCGGGACGTGGCTCCGGTGGAGACCCCCAGCTTGTCCCCCTCCTCGCACGGCCCCCCGGCCGAGCAGCGGGAGCAGGGCAGTGCCTGAGCCCCCCGATCCTCCACACCCACACCCCACACCGGATCCTCGCCGCCGCCAGAACCTCCGTGGGGCACCCACAGGGTGGGAGCCCCCTCCCCTTTTCCTGCCCTCTGCTCCGTGCGGGGATTAAAGGCGTGTTGGGCTCGCAGGTGGGTGCGGAGAGATGCTCTGAGGGGACAGGGGGGGTCTCGACCACCGCCCCGCGCTCTCGACACCGGCGCTGCGGGCGGGTTCGCCCTCCCCGCGGCCCCCCGGGCGGGGCGGGGACCGGGACCCCCGGTCAGCCCGTCCCGTGCCGGGGAGCTGAGCGCAGCAAAGCGCTTTGTGGCGGCCTCTGCAGCCCCGGCAGATTCCGGCGGGCGCCAATGGCCGGCCCGAGCCCTAATCCCCCCGGCCGGGGACTCAGCGCCCGCTAAGCCGCGCTGAATAAACCCTCCCGCAGACAACAGCACCGGGACGGGGGGGGGACACCCCGCAACCCCCAGCGGGGCCCACCCAGAGCCCCTCCCGCGGGGTGGGGGCGGCTCCCAGCGGGGGTTGCCCCAAAATGTCCCCAAAACATATTGGGGGGGGGAGGTGGGAGGTGTGTCAGTGCTGGCCCCGAGCAAGGGGGTCCCCTAAACCCCACTGGTGGCACCAATGGGTCACAGCCCCCCCCTCTCCCCCCAGGCAACCCCAGGGATGGGGGTGGCGCAGCTCTGGGGGGATCCCCACTATCGGGGGGTGCAGGGGGGGCTCGGGGGAGCTCCTCGCTCGTGTCACCTGTCCCGTGGCCCGGGCAGCGAAGCGGTTAACGGGGGGGTGGCGGAGGTGCGATCCCACCCCCGGGGCCGGCCCGGGGGGGGCTTATAAAGGTGGGCACGGGCGGCCCCCGGGGAGGGGAGCGGGGCCGTGGAGGGCAGCGGGGCCAGGCCATGCGGGAGCTGCGCTCGTCCGCCTTCTGGAGGGCCGTCCTGGCCGAGTTCCTGGGCAGCCTCCTCTATGCCCTGCTGGGGCTGGGGGCCTCCCTGCGCTGGGCCCCGGGCCCCCCCAGCGTGGTGGGGGCCGCCCTGGCCTTCGGGCTGGCCCAGACCACCCTGGTGCAGGCGCTGGGCCATGTCAGCGGGGGTCACGTCAACCCGGCCATCACGCTGGCCTTCCTGATGGCCTCGCAGCTCTCCCTGCCCCGTGCCATGGGCTACCTGCTGGCCCAGGTGCTGGGCATGCTGGCCGGTGCCGGGGTGCTCTATGGGGTGACCCCGGGCCCCGTCCGTGGCACCCTCGGCCTCAGCGCGGTGAGCAGGGGCACCTGGGGGGGATCGGGGGGCTGGGTGTGTCTGCAGGGCTGGGGGGCCGTGGGGTGTGGCAGTGGGGTGGGGGCTGTAATGAGGGTTTGGGGGGATTGGGGGCTCCAGGAGGTGTTTGGGGGTCTGAGGTACTTTTGGGCTGTAAGGGGATGTGGAAGGATTGGGGGAATCCAGGGGTTGTTTTGGGATCTGGGGTACCGTGGGGGTGTAATGGGGGGATGAGTGGGTTCAGAGAGGTTTGGGGGAATTGGGGGGGATCCAGGAGGTATTTAGGGATACCATGGGGCTATAATGGGGGTTCTGGGGTTCAGAGGTGTTTGAGGGGTCTGATGGTGAATGGGAGGGAGGGGGTGTCCAGAAGATGTTTTGGGTTTTGGATTGATGTGGGACAGTAATGGGGGCTGGGCGTCCTGGAGGAGTTTGGGGATGAGGAGGGGTTTGTTGTACAGCGGGGTTTTGGGGTGTGGAAGGATAACGAGGGACGATTTTGGGTGCTGAGGGGAATGAGGGAGCAACTTTTCGGGGTGCTGAGCCCTCTCCCCGCGCAGCTGCACCCCGGCGTGGGCCCGGGCCAGGGCACGGTGGTGGAGCTGCTCCTGACCGCCCAGTTCGTCCTCTGCGTCTTCGCCAGCTTCGATGACCGCCACGACGGGCGCCCGGCCATGGCCGCCGTGCCCGTCGGCTTCTCCCTCGCCCTCGGCCACCTCTTCGGGGTAAGGGCGGCCGCGGGGACCCTCGTGCTGGGACCCCGGGGGCTGGGGAGGGGCTGGGGGGCAGCTGTCCAGCCCCCACTGCCCCATCCCCCTGCAGATCCACTACACGGGTGCCAGCATGAACCCCGCTCGCTCCTTCGCCCCCGCCGTCATCACCCGCAACTTCGCCAACCACTGGGTAAGTGGGGGGGGACGGGGACCCCCAAACCCGCCCCGGGCCCCTCCAGTCCCTCCCCGCTTGTCCCTGTCCCGCCCCAGCCGCTGTGTCCCCACCGAAGGCGGGCGGCTGCCGGTGTCACCGCGGTGACAGCAGCACCCCAGGGTGCTGGGTACCCCCGTTATCCCGGGGAAGGGCACGCTCACCGGGCCGGCGCCCGAGCGTCAGCGGGGTGGGTGCCGTGCCCCCTCCGGAGGGCGGGGTGCCGGGGGTCCCCCGGTGCCGGTGCCCACGCCGCCCCCCCGCAGGTGTACTGGGCGGGCCCGCTGCTGGGCGCGGCGCTGGGCGCGGTGCTGTACGAGTTCGCGCTGTGCCCGCGGCCGCGCAGCCTGGCCGAGCGCCTGGCCGCCCTCAAGGGAGAACCGCCCGCCCCCACCGCCGTCACCGCCGCCGCCGCCGCCGCTACCGAGCCGCCGCCCGAGCCGCCGGCGGAGCCGCTGGAGCTGAAGACGCAGGGGCTGTAACGGGGCCCGTCCCGGGGCGCTGCTTTGCTGTGACGGGCCCGCCGCGGTGCGTGTGGTGCGTGTGTGTGCGGCGCGGCGCGGCGGGCGGGCGGCGGCGGGGCCCCGCTGCCGGGAACCGGCCACCGGGCTGCCCGGGGCCGCCCGTACCGGGCCGGGGCCGCCCCGCCCCGCCGCGACGGGACTTCTGTGTTCTGTGAATTAAACCTGCTCTTTTATTTTGGTAACCGCTCGCGGCCGTGCCCGGCGCCGGGAGCCGGGAGGGACCGAGCTGGGGTGGGAGGGGAACACCGGAGCCCGCTCGGCGGGCGGCGGGAGGGACCGAGCTGGGGTGGGAAGGGAACACCGGAGCCCGCTCGGCGGGTGGCGGGAGGTGCCGCCCGTTCCCGCGCCCGGGGCGGGCTCCGCCTATCCCGGGCCGTTCTTAAAAGGGCAACGCCGCCAGCGCGTCCCGCTCCTCAATGAACCCGTCCCGTCTTCCGCCCCTCAGCGCCGCGGGCCGGGGGGCGAGGGCCGGGGGGCGAGGGCAGGGGGACTGGGGGCACCCCGCGGCACCGAGCCGCCGGTTTGTGCCGTGGTGGACGGACTGAGGGCGGCAGCAGCGGGAGCACCGGGCTGCTGAGGGCGAGTTGCCGCTTGAAGGGTGCGGCGGGGCGGGGCCTCGGCCGCGGGAACTGGGGCGGTTGTGTAACGCCGCCCCCGCGCCGGGACCGGGACCGGGAGCGCGGCGGGGACGGGGCGGCGGTGAGCGGGACGGGGCTGCCACCGGGGGAGACCGGGACCGGGGACTGGGGGTCATCCGGGGTCACCGAAACCAGGGGGGTGTTTCGGGATCGGACGGGATAGGAACGGGATTGGGGGAACCGGGAGCTCCGGGGGAAATCGGCGGGCCCGGGGAGTGCTCCGGGATCAGGAGGGTCCGGGGGAAACTGGGGGCTGAGATCCGGGATCGGGCGTGGGGGGAGTCAGGAATGCTCCGGGATCGAGAAGGCAGCGGGGCCGAGCGGGATTTGGGGGGAGCCCAAATTTGGGGGGGGTGCTACGGAATCGGAGGAACCGGGGCTTGGGGTGCGCCGGTATTGGGGTGGCCCGAGCCTGGGAGGTGCGCCGGGATCGGGGCGGTAACGGAGCCCGGGGGTTGCTGTGGCATCGGCGGGGTCCGGTACCGAGCGGGACCAGGCCTGGGAGGTTTGTCGGTGTCGGGGAGACTGGGACCGGATGGTGTCCAGGATGTGGGAGACCGGGAGCAGCAGGTGGGCCGGTACCGGGGGAGCCCAGACCGGGTGGGGGTCCCCAGCGCTGACAGTGGCCCTCAGGTGGCCCCGGTGCTGGTCCCGTGTGCAGCCCCGCGCTGCATGGACTGGTACATGATGAACTGCGAGCTCCTGGCCACCTGCAGCGCCCTGGGCTACCTGGAGGGCGACGTGTACCACCGGGAGCCCGACTGCCTGGGTAGGTGGCATGGGGAGGGGGCGACAGGGGACAGGGACGGCGGGGACTGACGGCCCCGTGTGCCCAGAGAGCGTCAAGGACCTGATCCGGTACCTGCGCCACGAGGATGAGAGCCGGGACGTGCGGCAGCAGCTGGGGGCAGCCCAAATCCTGCAGAACGACCTCCTGCCCATCCTGGTGCAGTACCCCCAGGAAAAGGTGCTCTTCGACGCCGTCATCAGGTATCGGGGGGCAGGGTTGTGCTTGGGGGTGGCTCTGTGGGGGCTCCTTGCTGGGCAGGGGTCTCTCACACGTCTCTGCTCCCTCGAAGGTTGATGGTGAACCTGACACAGCCGGCCCTGCTCTGCTTCGGGAAGGTGCCAGCAGATGCCACCTCCCGCCACCACTTCCTCCAGGTGCTGTCCTACCTGCAGGCCTACAAGGAGGTGAGTCTGCCCAGGGACGTGCTGTGGGCGAGGGGCTTTGCCCCCGTTGCCGTGCTCACCTGGGGTCTCTGCAGGCTTTTGCCAGTGAGAAGGTGTTCGTGGTGCTCAGTGAGAAGCTCTACAACCTCCTGCAGCTGGTGAGTGCCCCCTCAGGGGCTGTGGGGTCTGTCCCTATTGGGGTCCCTCAGGGCTGTGGGGTCTGTCCCTATTGGAATCCCATAGGGACTGTGGGGTCTGTCCCTATTGGAGTCCCTCAGGGCTGTGGGGTCTGTCCCTATTGGAGTCCCACAGGGGCTGTGGGGTCTGTCCCTATTGGAGTCCCTCAGGGCTGTGGGGTCTGTCCCTATTGGAGTCCCACAGGGGCTGTGGGGTCTGTCCCTATTGGAGTCCCTCAGGGCTGTGGGGTCTGTTGTCCCTCAGGGGCTGTGGGGTATGTCCCTACTGGGAGTCCCTCAGGGGCTGTGGGGTCTGTCCCTAATGGGGGGGTTCCTCAGGGCTGTGGGGTCTGTCACTGCTGGGGTCCCCCAGGGCTGTGGGGTCTGTCCCTATTGGGGGGGGTCCCTCAGGGGCTGTGGGGTCTGTTGTCCCTCAGGGGCTGTGGGGTCTGTCCCTATTGGGGGGGGTCCCTCAGGGGCTGTGGGGTCTGTCCCTATTGGAGTCCCACAGGGGCTGTGGGGTCTGTTGTCCCGCAGGGCTGTGGGGTCCCTCCCTGCCAGGGACCCCCGGGGGGCTGTGGGGGTCCCTGACAGCTCTGTCCCCCAGGACTGGGAGCAGCGGCAGGAGGAGGACACGCTGCTGATCGAGAGGATCCTGCTGCTGGTGCGCAACGTGCTGCACGTGCCCCCGGACCCCACGGAGGAGCAGGTACCGGGACAGGGCCCTTCCCCGGCTCCTCCACAGATGTGGGGCCTCGGTGGCTCCAGGGGGACCCTGACAGCCCGGGACCACCCCCAGCAGGGCGTGGACGGTGACGCCAGCGTGCACGACCGGGTGCTGTGGGCGCTGCACATCAGTGGCATGGACGACCTGCTCAAATTCCTGGCCAGCGCCCAGGTGGAGCAGCAGTGGGCTCTGCACGTCCTGGAGATCATCTCCCTCATGTTCCGTGACCAGGTGAGCTGGGGCAGGCGTGGCAGGGCGGGGACCCCCCAGCCAGAGCCCCCCGAGCGCTGACAGAGCTGCTGGCAGAGCCCAGAGGAGCTGGCGGCGCTGGGACAGGGGACAGCAGGGGCCGAGCACAGGGAGGACACGCAGGAGCTGCAGACCTTGAGGCAGAGAGAGCTGGCAGAGAAGAGAAGCCGGGCGCTGCAGCGCCCATCCAGGTGAGGAGGGGGCACCCCCGTGGCAGGGATGGGACCCCCGAGGTGGGGACGGCATCGCTCAGCCCCTGTTCCCTGCCAGGCACTCCCGCTTTGGTGGCTCCTACGTCCTGCAGGGCGTCAAGTCCATCGGGGACCGGGATGTGGTGTTCCACAAAGGGCTGCACAACGTGAGCGTGGGGCGAGGGCTGCGGGCTGGGGACGTGCCAGGGGGACAGGGATGTGTGCAGCGTGGTGCTGGGGATGTGGCACAGGGTGGAGGGAGGGGGACGTGGCAGGGGGACAGGGATGTGTGTGCAGCGTGGTGCTGGGGATGTGGCACAGGGTGGAGGGAGGGGGACGTGGCAGGGGGACAGGGATGTGTGTGCAGCGTGGTGCTGGGGACACAGTGGGGGCACAGGGCTGGGGAACAGGAACGTGGGTGGGACACGGGGTTAAAGATACGGTGTGGGGTCAAGGATGTGGCACTGGGGTGTGGATGTGGGTGGGGGACACAGGTATGGGGATGTGGTGGGGGTCACACAGCAGTGGGCACAGGGACAAGGACGTGGTGGGGGGAACAGGGACATGGGGCTGGGCAGGGGGCACAGGGGACACGATACGGGAGGGACACAAGGACAGGGGTGTAGAGGGGGCTATGGGGACAGGGACACAGTGGGGGGCGTGGGCCAGGTACATGGGGGGACACTGGGACGGGGATGTGGCAGAGGTCATTGAGATGGGAATGGGGGTGGGGGGCACGGGGATGAGAACACAGGTGGGACACAGGATGGGAAGATGGAATGTGGAACACAGAACCAGGGGATGTGGTGGGGCTGCAGGAACAGGGACGCGGTGCGGGGCACCGGAATGTGGGGACATGGTGGGTGGCACCGGGATGGGATGTGGCAGGGGGCACCAGGACAACGCCACGGGGATAAATCTGACGCTCCATCCCCTGCAGCTGAAGAGCTACAGCCACGACCTGGGCAAGGAACCGCGGCGGCTGCCCCGGCACCGCAGGGCTGCCCCCGAGGCCGAGCCCTCGCGCCGCTCCGCCCGCAATGTCCGGCTCTTCCTGCGCCACTTCTGCCAGGACTTCCTGGAGGGCTGCTACAACCGCCTGATGCTGCTGGTCAAGGTGAGCGGCTGGGAGCACCGGGATCCCCTCTCCAGGCTGTGGGACCCCCGCTCAGACCCCCCCCGGTCGCCCCCAGGACCAGCTGGTGCGGGAGAAGGCTCAGCAGCACGATGAGACCTATTACCTGTGGGCCACTGCCTTCTTCATGGCCTTCAACCGGCTCCACGGCTTCCGGCCCGAGCTGGTGTCCGAGACCGTGGGGGTCCGAGCCTTCCACTTCATCGAGCAGAACCTCACCACCTATTACGAGATGGCGCTGATGGACAAGAAGGAGGCAACAACCTGGGCCCGCAGGTGAGCAGCTGGGACTCCCCAGGGCACCTGGGACACCCTTTGGTGGTGAATCTCAGTATCTGGGGTTCTCCTTGAGTACCTGAGGCTCCCCGTGGTGTCTGGGACCTTCTGGAGATCTGGGACCCTCACAGTACCTGGGATACCCCCAGTGCCTGGGACACCCCAGGGCACCTGGGACACCCCTCGGTGTCTGGGACCCCCAACTACTTGGGATCTCCTGGTGTCTGGGACCCCCTGGACACTTGGGACCCCGCTGGTCAGCTATGACCTCCCTGGTGCCTCCTGGGAACCCAGGAACCCCTGGACACGTGGGACTCTGTGTTGCCTGAGACCCCCTTGGGCATTTGGGACTCCTGGAGTACCTGTGACCCCCCCATGGCAGCTGTGACCCCCCACAGGATGCACTTGGCGCTGAAGGCGTACCAGGAGCTGCTGCGGACGGTGCAGGAGATGGATCGCTCCCCGGAGCAGGCGGTGCGGGACAGCAGCCAGGTCATCAAGAGTGAGTCCTGAGTCCTTCTGCCGAGCCCGGGGTGTCCCTGAGCCACCCCTTCCCACTGCCACCCTCCTCCCCAGGCAACATCTTCTACGTGATGGAATACCGGGAGCTCTTCCTGACGCTCTTCCGCAAGTTCGACGAGACCAAGCAGCCGCGCAGCTTCCTGCGGGACCTGGTGGAGACCGCTCACCTCTTCCTCCGCATGCTGGAGCGCTTCTGCCGCGGCCGTGCCAACCTCGTGGTGCAGGTGGGCTGTGGCTGCCCTGCCTGGGGGGGGTCCCTGGGGCTCAGCAGCCCCTCCTGACCCCGTCCTTGCCCCGCAGAGCAAACGTGTGCGGAGGAAGAAGAAGAAGAAGCCTCATGTGGCTGAGGGCGCCGCCCCGCCCAGCGCCGCGGAGCTGGAGCGGCTGTGGGAAGGATTGGCCCCGCAGCTCCAGGCCTGCCTGGAGGTACCAGGGAAGGTTCTGGCCCCACGGGGGGCTCTGGGGGTGTTGGTGGGGCACGGGGTAACCCTGTCCTGCCCCAGGGCGAGGTGCCCCTGCCCGAGGACACGGTGCCCTTCGACGCCGCCTCGGAGACGCCGGTGGAGGAGCAGCGCGCGGAGGCTCTGCTGCGGATCCAGGAGTGCCTGCGGGGTTCCCGCGTGCCCCAGGCCCTGCAGCTGCTGCGCTCGGCCAGGTACCAGCACCGCCATGCCCGTCTCCTGCCCGGGGCGTGGGGACACGGTGCCAGCCTGTCCCCACTGTCCCCAGGGAGGTCTGGCCCGAGGGGGATGTGTTCGGATCCGCGGATGTGGGGCCGCCCGAGGAGACCCAGCTGCTCCGGGAGATCCTCGTCGCTGCCCTGCCCGGTGAGTCCCCACCCGTGACCCTGGCAAGTGGGAAAACTTCTGGGCAGGGCGCTGCAGAGCCTCAGCACGTCCCACCGCAGGGCACGCGCCCGCCGAGCCCGAGGAGGAGCCGGAGGAAGAGGAAGAGGAGGGCGAGGAAGAGGAGGCGCAGACCCTGCAGGTGTCGGAGAAGGAATTCAACTTCCTCGACTACCTGAAGCGGTGAGAAGGGTTTGGGGAGGGTCGGGGGGTCCCGCTGCGGGGCGGCCGCGCTGACGGGGCTGCCGGGCAGGTTCGCCTGTGCCCCGGTGGTGCGGGCGCTGGTGCTGCTGCTGCGGGGCTACGCGGGGAACAGCGCCCGCACCAACCACTGCGCCGCGCGCCTGCTGCACCGCCTGGCCCGCGACCTGCGCATGGAGCCGCTGCTTTTCCAGCTCTCCCTCTTCGCCCTCTTCCACCGCCTGCTCAGCGACCCCGCCGCCGCCGCGCACCAGGTCAGACAGGGCCTCGAGACCCCCGGGAGGGGTCTGGCCCTGCAGCCCCCAGCCCCGCTCAGTCCCCAGAATCTCCCAGCCCTGCTCTGTCCCTGCAGCCCCCAGCCCCACTCAATCCCCAGAATCTCCCAGCCCTGCTCTGTCCCTGCAGCCCCCAGCCCTCCTCTGTCCCTGCAGCCCCCAGCCCCACTCAGTCCCCAGAATCTCCCAGCCCTGCTCTGTCCCTGCAGCCCCCAGCCCCACCCAGAATCTCCCAGCCCTGCTCTGTCCCTGCAGCCCCCAGCCCCACTCAATCCCCAGCAGCCCCCAGCCCCACTGAATCCCCAGCATCTCCCAGCCCTGCTCTGTGCAGGCCCCCAGCCCCACTCTCCATCCCTGCTGTCCCCCAGCCCCACTCTCTGTGCTCACATCCCTCAGCCCCTCTGTCCATCCCTGCTGTTCCCCAGCCCTGCATTCCAAATTTCCCTCAGCCCCACTCTCTGTCCCCGGTGCCCCCCAACCCCTCTCTCCCTCCTGCTGTCCCCAGGAGTTGGTGACCTTGGCCAAGTTCATCCTGGGCAAGTTCTTTGCTCTGGCGGCCACCAACAAAAAGGCCTTTGTGGAGCTGCTCTTCTGGAAGAGCCCGACCATCGTCTGCGAGATGACCAAGGGCTACAGCTCCCTGCAGGAGGGAGAGGGGTGAGTGGGGCCGGGGAGGGGGCTGCACTCCCTCCTCCCCTCCCCTCACCTCCCTCCCCTCCCCTCCCCAGGCCCACCCTCAGCCGAGTGCCCCCCTGGACCCCTCAGCAGGAGCAGGAGCTGCGGGAGCTCTACTGGAAGTACAAGGAGGTGGAAGGTACTGGGGGTCTCTGGGGTCTCAGCCGGACCCCCGGGGGGTGGCAGGGGCTCTGTCCCTGCATCCTCCCTGTCCCACAGGTGGGGACATCATCGCTGCCATCCTGGCCCATCTCCCCCCGCCCGGGCGCACGCGGAGGCAGGTGGTGAAGCAGCTGGTGCGGATGGGGCTGGCCAGCAGTGCCAAGGACTTCCCGCGGGACAGGTGGGGCAGGGACCCCCGGGGACAGGGCAGGGACCCCCGGGGACAGGGCAGGGACCCACATCTGTTTTCCCACCCCCCAGGAAGGGCACCTCCATCGTGCTGTGGACGCAGGAGCAGGAGGAGGAGCTGACGCGGCTCTTTGAGGAGTTCCAGGGCTCGGATGGTGAGCAGGACACGGGGGTAGACCCCAGAATCCCCCTGTAGCCCCCCACCCTGACCCTCCTCCCCCGCAGACGTCCTGGGGAACATCATGAAGCACCTGACGGCGCGGCGCTCGCGGGCTCGCGTGGTGGAGAAGCTGCTGGGGCTGGGGCTGGTGGCCGAACGCAAGGAGCTGTACAAGAAACGCCGGAGGAAGAGCCAGGGCCCTGCTGCCGGGCAGGTATGGGGGGCTGGAGGGTGCTGGGCTGTGCCCTGGGGGTGCTGTCCCCACCCTGGGGCACCCAAACACGGCCTGTCCCCATCCTGGGCACCCAAACGCTGCTGGCTCCCACAGGCTGACACAGGCGTCCCAGCCAGCTCAGGAGAGGATGAGGACAGCGAGGAGGAGGAAGAGGAGGATGAGGATGAAGCAGAGGAAGGCCGCGTGGAGGAGCACTGGGTGCCCCAGGAAGGGGCTGGGCAGGACCTGGCGCAGCACCTGCATCAGGAAGGTGGGCGAGGGGTCCCACACCCCGAGCTGGGCTGGGCCGTGGGGCCGGACCCTTTGTCACCATCTGCTGTCCCCAGGGCTGGCCGGGCCCCTGCGGTGGCTGCAGAACAGCCTGCGGCGGGCGGCGGGGGACCGCCAGGAGGACGGTGAGCGGGGTTGGGGGTCGGCTGGGGGGGGCTGCGGGGTCGGGGTCCCGCTGACGGCGCTCCCGGCCCAGGCGTGTCCCACCCGGTGCCGCTGGTGCCGCTGACGGAGGAGAACGAGGACGCCATGGAGGACCGGCGCTTCCGGGCCCTGCTGCGGCAGCTGGGGCTGCGGCCTCCTGCCAGCGAGCAGGTGAGGTGCCCACCCATCCCTGTCCCCATCCATCCCTGTCCCCATCCATCCCTGCCCCATCCCTCCCTGTCCCCATCCCTGTCCCCATCCATCCCTGCCCCATCCTTCCCTGTCCCCTTCCCTGTCCCCATCCCTCCCTGCCCCCATCCCTGTCCCCCCCATCCCTGCCCCATCCATCCCTGTCCCCCCCATCCCTGTCCCCAGCACAGCCCTGCCATGTCCCCATCCCTGTCCCCAGCACAGCCCATCCCTGTCCCCACCCCTGTCCCCATCCCTGTCCCCAGCACAGCCCATCCCTGTCCCCATCCCTGTCCCCATCCCTGTCCCCAGCACAGCCCTGCCATGTCCCCATCCCTGTCCCCATCCCGGCCCTGCCATGTCCCCTCTCTGCCCAGGAATCCTTCTGGCGCATCCCGGCCGCCCTCACCCCGCAGCAGCTCCGGCGTGCGGCCGCCTCCATCGCCCACCGTGGCCCCTCAGGGTCCCCCCAGGACCTCTCAGAGCCACCCAGGTGCCCCCAGGACCCGGCTGCAGGTGAGGGGTGGGGCTGGGGGGTGTGGGACCCCCAGGTGTGGGGCTGGCTCTGAGCCCCCCTCCTTGTGCCCCTCAGCAGAGCCGCTGCCGGCGGGGCTGGGATCAGACTCGGAGAGGTGAGAGCCGAGTTCCCTTCTCCGTTTGTGGGCTCCTGGTTTGGGGGGGGTCTTCTCCCTGCCTGGGGAGGGGATCTGGACCCCCACCATGTGGGGCTGAGCAGAGCCACCCTCTGCAGCGAGGAGCCCGTCCCCGTCCCTGTCCCCAGCCCAGTGCAGCCACGCAGCAAGAGGCGCCGGGAGCTCGCCAGCGAGGATGAGGATGAGGATGAGGATGGTGGGAGCTCAGGTGGGTTCAGCCCCTCTGCTCACTCCTGGGGGCTGGGGGGGCTCTGAGTGGGACTGGGTCGGGGTTGTGCTGTCCTTGTCCCCTTCACCACACTCCTGGGGGGCTCAGCCCTCTCCCCTCTCCCTCCATCCACAGGAACCGAGCTGGCCCCCCCAGCTCCCCGCTCCGAGGAGGATGAGGAGGAGGAGGAAGAGGATCCACAGCCCCGGGGGAGGCGGAAGCGCATCCGCTGCCTGGAAGAGGAGGAGGAAGAGGACTGAGTGGCTTCCCATACCCTGCCTGTGCCCGGGCCTTGTGCTGTTTTCTGGGCTTTTTGCAGATTTTATTGGATTTCTACAGGTTTTCCGCAGGTTTTTCTGGGGTTTCTACAGGTTTTCTGGGGTTTCTGCAGATTTTCTTCTGCAAGTTTTGATGCTGTTTTTAAAGGCTGCACAAGCAACCAGTTTCTCCACCTTCCCCCACTTCCCCTGGTGTCACCATCTCCCTGTTTTACCCCAAGTTTCCTCTTTTTCCTCAGCTGTTGGGGTTTTTTCTTCCCTAAAACTTTTTAAATCTGGACAGGGCTTAAATAAATAAAAAGTGACTTTTGGCCTCCTTGGGTGTGTGTGGGTCTGCAGGGGGGCTGGGGGCTCAGGGAGTGCCCAGTGCCTGTCCCTGCGCCGGACGTGTCGCAACTCCCCGATAACAGCGGCTATAAAGCGGTCACGGGGCCGGAGTGGCCACAGCGGCCGGACCGGGCAGGGGACAGCGGCGAGCGGGTGAGCCGGGGCACGGGGGATCACGGGGATCACGGGGGGCTGCACCACGGGGCTCTGACGGCGCTTCGTCCTTCTCCCACCTCCACAGAGCCGCCACCATGCCCCACGTTCTGCTCTTCCTCCCGCTCCTCATCCTCAGCCGTGCCACGGCCGCGGCTGCCGGTCAGCGGGCGCTGCTGGCCGAGCTGGTGGGGCCGGCAGAGCCCGTCCCGCCGCGGGCACCGGGGATCCCGTGCCAGACCCTTCGCCCCGACGCCCTGCCCGGTTTCTGGCGGCTGCCGCCGCTGCCCCGCGGCCTGGCCCGTGCCGCCATGGCCCTGGCGCTGCACGGGGCCGGTTGTGCCGCCATGGCCGAGGCCGAGGCGCGGGAGCTGGCACGGGAGCTGGGCACCCCCGCGGCCACGGCGCTGCTGCGGGGCCTGGCGCGGGTACCGGGCGCTCCGGCCCCGCGGCCGCTGGCCCTGCTGCTCCTCAGCCTGGCACGGCCGGGGGGCTCGGCCTGCCTGGATCCCACCCAGCACCTCCAGACCCCCGTGCCCAGCACGGAGCCCACACCACGCTCGGGCCAGGCCGGCCGGGAACCCGCGGGGCTCCGGCCGTGCCGCGGCATCGTGCGGCGGCGGCGGCGGGAGGACGAGGACGCCTGCAGCCCGGCGGGGGAGCGGGAAGCGCACCGGGTGCTGGACTGGGTACCGGGAGTCAGCGTCTTCTACAACCTGGGCACCAGCGTCTACTTCGCCTTCCAGGGCTGCGAGGCCGTGGCGTCCACGCGGGCGCTGCAGGCCGCCGAGGAGCTGGGCTACGCCGGGCTGGCCGCGCTCACCGGGGGCCTGGGGGGCCCCGTGGCTCTGGGGGTGCAGCTGGGGCTGCAGCCGGGGCTCAAGGCCGGCGTGCGGGCGCTCGTCGGGTACTTCACCTCGGCCGGGGAGCCCCCGCCGGTGCCCACTGCCCACAGCGGGGCCGTGGTCATCGTCTGAATAAAGGCCACGTGTGGCAGCCGGGGCCGGGTCGCTGTTTGGGGCGGTTGGGGACGGATCGATGCGGGGTCACCCTGTCCTGGGGCGGCTGGACCTTGGCCACGTGGTGGCAGCTGGGCTGGGCCTGTCCCTGTGTCCCTTTGTGGCTCTGTGCCACCCCCACGGCCTGTCCCTGTCCCTAAAGCCCCACAGCCAGTCAGTCCCCGTGGCCACACTGCCTTGTCCCTGTCCCCAGGGCTCTGTCCCCATGGCTCTGTCCCTGTCCCTACAGCCCCAGCCCTGTCCCCACAGCCAGTCACTCCCAGTGGCCACACTGCCTTGTCCCTGTCCCCATGGCTCTTTTCCTCTCCCCCTCCAGCCTATCCCTGTCCCCAGGGCTCTGTGTCCCTCTCCCGGTCCCCTCTGTCTGTCCCGGTCCCCCCCGTCCCTGTCCCGGTCCCTATGGCCTGTCCCGGTCCCCCCCGTCCCTGTCCCGATCCCCTCTGTCCCTGTCCCGGTCCCCTCTGTCCGGGTCCCGGTCCCCCCCGTCCCTGTCCCGGCCCCCTCTGTCTGTCCCGGTCCCCTCGGTCCCTGTCCCGGTCCCCCCCGTCCCTGTCCCGGTCCCCTCGGTCCCTGTCCCGGTCCCCTCTGTCTGTCCCGGTCCCCCCCGTCCCTGTCCCGGTCCCCATGGCCTGTCCCGGTCCCTCCCGTCCCTGTCCCGGCCCCCTCCGTCCCTGTCCCGGTCCCCTCTCTCCCTGTCCCGGTCCCCTCCGTCCCTGTCCCGGTCCCCCCCGTCCCTGTCCCGGTTCCCTCCGTCCCTGTCCCGGTCCCCCCCGTCCCTGTCCCGGTCCCCTGAGTCCCTGTCCCGGTCCCCTCCGTCCCTGTCCCGGTCCCCCCCGTCCCTGTCCCGGTCCCCCCGCCCATCCCGGGCCGCCGCCGCCGTTCCCGCCCCCGGTCCCGCTGACCCCGCCCACGGACCACGCCCCATCCTTGGCCCCGCCCACTCCGCCCCCGCCCCGTGTGACGTCAATTTGGGGAAATGAACAAACGGGCCCAGAGCCGCCGCGCGCGGGGGCGGGGCCTCGGCGCCGCTCTCCGCCAATCAGCGAGCAGAGCTGGGAGGGGGCGTGGCCAGCCCGCCTTCCTGCTCCGGTGCCGGCGGAGGTGGGTCGGGGGTCCCGGGGGATCCCGGGGGGGACACGGGCGGTTCTGGAGCCCGGGAGAGCCGGGGGAAGGGGGGCACAGGCCGGGGACCCCGGCTGGGGCGCACAGAGCGTCCCCTGCAGGGCTGTCGCGCTGGGGCGGGGGGCGTTCAGGGGCACCCATCCCACTGTGGGGTACCCGGGGGGCGCCCGAGGGGTTAATGGGGGTCCGGTCTAGGGGGAGCTCTGAGGAGGGGCCTGGGGTGGTGCACAAGGGGTGCTGGGGGCCTGCTGTGGGCGTTCTGTGCCCCCCGCCCCGAGTGGGGAGCCCACCTCGGCTCAACCCCTGCTCCCACCGCAGGACGCGGCTGCCGGTCCGCGGCCACCCCAGCGGGAGCTGCCGGGGCTGAGGCAGAGCAGAGGGACCCTCGGGACCACCCAGGACTGAGCAGAGGGACCCCCGGGAGCAGCCAGGACCGATCAGAGGGACCCCCGGGACCACCCAGGACTGAGCACAGGGACCCTCGGGACCACCCAGAACCCGAGCACAGGGACCCTCGGAACCACCCAGGACTGAGCAGAGGGATCCCCGGGACCACCCAGAACCCGAGCACAGGGACCCCCGGGACCACCCAGGACTGAGCACAGGGACCCCCGGGACCGCTCAGGACTGAGCAGAGGGACCCCCAGGAACAGCCAGGACCGAGCAGGAGCAGAGGGACCCCCGGGAGCAGCCAGGACTGAGCAGAGAGACCCCCAGGAGCAGCCAGGACCGAGCAGGAGCAGAGAGACCCCCGGGACCACCCAGAACCCGAGCAGAGAGACCCCCGGGAGCAGACAGGACCGAGCAGGAGCAGAGAGACCCCCGGGAGCAGCCAGGACTGAGCAGAGGGACCCCCGGGAGCAGCCAGCACCGAGCAGGAGCAGAGGGACCCCCGGGTCCTGTGCTGCAGGCAGGTACGTGGGGTGCAGCGGTGCCCACCTGGCAGCCGCGGGCATTTCTCGTCCTCCGGTCCCGCCGTGGCCGGGGCAGGCCCGGGACGCCGCTGACCCGCTGTCCCCGCAGCATGGCGCAGTGGCAGGAGGTGCAGAGCTTGGCCAACACTTACCTGGAGCAGGTGCACCAGCTGTACGCGGGCTCGGCGCTGCCCATGGCCGTGCGGCAGTCCTTGGCCGCCTGGATCGAGAGCCAGAACTGGTACCGGGGGGGGAACCGGGGCTGGCGGCGGCACCGGGGGGCACGGGCAGGGCCGTGGCCGCGCTGAGCCCGCGCTGTGCCCGCGCTGCCGCAGGCGCCAGGCGGCGGAGCCGCTCTGCTCGCAGGCTCGGATGCTGTTCCACTCCTTACTGGTGGTACTGGGAGAGCGCCTGGGCAGCCTGGGCTCGGACCGCGAGGATTTCATGCTGAAGCACAACCTGCGCAAGGCGCACCGCGACCTCCAGGTGCGCTCCGGGCTGGGGAGGGGTCTCGGTGGGGAGGGGTCTCCGCGCCGCGCTGACCCCCCCGAGCCCCTCCGCAGGCCGAGTTCGAGGAGAAGCCGGAGACATTCGCCAACCTGGTGGCCAACCTGCTGCAGGAGGAGCGGCGGATCCTGCGGCTGGGGCAGGCGGGGGAGCAGGTAGGGCAGGGCTGTGTCCCCCCAGCCCGCCCCACACACGCCGGGGGTCCCGCGACCCCTCCCCACACCCCGTGTCTCCCTCCCTAGGAGGGTTCGGCCCCCGCGCCCAGCCCGGCCCCGGAGAGCGGCCGGGAGCAGCAGATCCAGCAGCGCTTGGGTGACTTCCACAGGGCCCTGCAGGTAACCCCCCGCCCCCCGCGACCCCCGCCGAGCCCCCCGGGGGCTGCCCGGCCCCTCCTGACCCCCCTGTGCCCGCAGGAAGCCGAACGAGCCTTCAGGCACCTGGAGGATTTGCAGGATGCCTTTGACTTCTGCTTCAAGGTGCACTACCGGCCAGGTGAGCCCCACGGCGGGGAGATTGGGGTGGGCACTGCCCTGCGCCCCCCCGAGCCCCCCAAAACCCCAAACCCTCTCCCCTGCCCGCAGATGGGGAGAGGAACAGCGACCCCGAGTACATCCAAGAGCTGAAATCCCTCCAGGACAAACTGCAGAACTTGCACCGGCAGCGGCAGGTGAGGGGGGCTCGGGGTGGCCGGGCTGGGTTTCGGGGGGTCTGTGCACCCCGCTCAGTGCCACATCTCCCCCCAGGAGGTGCTGGCTCTGATGCAGCAGCTCCTGAGGCGCAGCGAGACCCTGCAGGAGCTGCTGCAGCAGGAGTTGGGGGGCTGGCGGGCGCGGCAGCAGCGCCAGTGCTTGGGGGGCCCCGGCGACACCAACCTGCGCCCGCTGGAGACCTGGTAGGGCTGGGGGGCTCGGGGGGCTCGGGGGGCTCGGGGGGCGGTACAGCCGGACCCCTCCGAGCTCCCTGACCCCCGCAGGTTCACGGAGCTGGGCCAGGGGCTGTTCCAGCTGCGGCAGCTGCTGCGGGCGCTGGGTGAGCTGCGACAAAAGGTGACCTACGCCAGGGACCCGCTGGTGACAGAGACGCCCCTGCTGGAGCAGCGGCTGCAGGAGCAGCTCACGCACCTTCTCAGGAGGTGTGGGTCGGCTCTGAGCGGCTGCAGCGCTGCCAGGAGGGTTCGGGGATGGAGATCAGGGAAAAAAAAATCCTCCCCACCAAGGGTGGTTGAGCGCTGGGGCAGCTCTCCAGGGAATGGTGACGGTCCCGAGGTTGTCAGAGCTCTGGGAGTGTTTGGACAACTCTCCCAGGCACGGGGTGGGATTTTGGGGTGTCTGTGCAGGGCCTGGAGCTGGGATCGAGGGTTCTGCTGGGTCCCTTGCAGCTCTGGGTGTAATTCAGGAGGTCGGGGGGGTCGGGGAAGTGCTCTCAGGGATTTTGGGGGAAACTTTGTGGTGTCCTGTGCCGGGCTGGACTTTGATCCTGATGGGTCTCTTCCAGCTCTGGATGATTCAAGAGGTCAGGGAGAGGTTGGGCAATGCTCTCAGGTGTTGGGATTTAGGATTTTTGGGGGTGTCCTGGGACTCAAAGATTGCTGTGGGCCCCTTCCCGCCTCAAGGAGCATTTGGAGAAGTCTCTCAGGGACAGGGTGGGATTTTGGGGTGTCTTGAGCATGGAGTTGGGCTTTGATCCCTGTAGGTCCCTGCCAACTCAGGATATTCCATCATTTCAGGGGTCAGGGACAGTTTGGACAAGGCTGTCAGGCCCTCAGTGCTCTCAGTGCTGGGATTTGGGGACTGGGCGGGTTTTGGGGTTCTCATGTGCCAGGCCAGGAGTTGGACTCGATGTTCCTGATGGGTCCCTTCCATCCCTGGATATTCCACAGCTCAGGGGTGTTTGGACACCACTCAAATGTTGGGATTTAGGACCGGGCAGGTTTTGGGGTTGTCCCAATCAGGAGGTGTTTGGACAAACATTGGGATTTAGGACCGGGCAGGTTTTGGGGTTGCTCCAATCAGGGGGTGTTTGGACAAACGTTGGGATTTAGGACCGGGCAGGTTTTGGGGTTGTTCCGTGCCCAACCCGCAGTTCACCCCGCACGGGGCTGTTGCTGATTTCGGGAGCGGGGACAGCCCGGGGGGGCCTCGGGGTGGCCCTGACCCCCCGTTTTCCCCCGTTTTCCCCCGTTTCCCCAGCGCCTTCGTGGTGGAGCAGCAGCCCAGCACCCCCAACGCCGCCAAGCGCCCGTTGGTGCTGCGCACCGCCGGCAAGTTCAGCACCCGCGCCCGGCTGCTGGTGCGGCTGCACGACCGCAACCACCGCATGGAGGCCCGGATCCACATCGACAGGTCTGCTCCTTAGGGAATTCGTTAGTTCATTTATTGAATTCAACGATGGCATTCATTAATTAAAATTTAAATTAAATTAAATTAATTAAGTTTAATTTAATTAATTTAATTAATCATAAAATAAAATAAAATAAAATAAAATAAAATAAAATAAAATAATTACCTTTTCTCTTGCAGGGACCCGCCCAACATCCGAGGGTGAGAGCTGGGAGAGCGCCGGACCCACCCCGGGGGTCCTGACCCCACCCCGGGGGTCCTGAGCCCACCCCAGGGGTTCTGACCCCACCCTGGGGGTCCTGACCTCATCTCGGGGGTCCTGACCCCACCCCGGGGGTCCTGACCCCACCCCAGGGATCCTGAGCCCATCCCGGGGGTCCTGACCCCATCTCGGGGGTCCTGACCCCATCTCGGGGATCCTGACCCCATGCCGGGGGTCCTGACCCCATGCCGGGGGTCCTGACCTCATCTCAGGGGTCCCGTCCCCTTCCGGGGGTCCCGGCCCCTCCCGGGGGTCCCAGCCCCCCATGTGCCCTCCCGGGGGTCCCGTCCCGTCCCGGGGGTCCCGTCCCGTCCCGGGGGTCCCGTCCCCGCCCGGGGGTCCCGTCCCCTCCCGGGGGTCCCGTCCCGTCCCGTGGGTCCCGTCCCGTCCCGGGGGTCCCGTCCCCGCCCGGGGGTCGCGGCCCCCTCGCAGCTCCCGCCTGTGCCCCGCAGGTTCCGCCGGTTCAACATCCTGACATCGAGCAGCAAAACGCTCCTGGCCGGGGACAGTCCCCAGGAGGGGCTGATCTGCGACTTCCAGTACCTCGTAGGGACCCCCCAGACCCCCAAACCCCCCCCGGGGCGGGGGGCAGGTGAGGAGCCCACCCGGGGCTGACCCGTCCCCGTCCCGCAGACGCTGAAGGAGCAGAAGGACAGCAGGGCCGGCAAGGGCAAGGGCGGCGGCGGCGAGGTGGGCACGGCCCGGGGGGCTGCGGGGGGCTGGGGGGCTGCAGGGAGGCTGCAGGGGGCTGGGGGGCTGCAATGGGGCTGGGGGGCTGCAGGGGGGTCGGGGGGCTGTAGGGGGGCTGCAGGGGGGTGAGGAGTCTGCAGGGGGCTGCAGAGGGGTCGGGGGGCTGCAGGGGTTCGGGGGGCTGCAGGGGGGTCAGGCAGGGCGGTGACCCCAGTGCCACCTCCCCACAGGGTCCCCTGGTCGTGACAGAGGAGCTGCACCTCATCACCTTCACGCTGGCTTACGCCTACTGCGGGCTGGAGCTGGAGCTGGAGGTGAGGCTGGGGGTGCTGGGGGGCTTGGGGGGCTCGGGGAGGGTGGGGGGGGGGCGCTGGGGACAGCCAGCCTGAGCCCTGTCCCCTCCCCAGGCCACCACGCTGCCCTTCGTCATCATCTCCAACAACAACCAGTTCTCCAGCGCCTGGGCCTCCATCCTCTGGTTCAACATGCTCAGCTCGGACCCCAAGGCGAGCCCTGTGCCACCCCCAGCGCTGCCACCCTCGTGTCCCCCTGGCCCTTCCCCAGCGCTGCCACCCTCGTGTCCCCCTGTCCCTTCCCCAGCGCTGTCCCTCATCCTGGTGTCCTGGCCCGGGTCCCTGCTCCTGGTTGTCCCCTGTGCCTTGTCCCCAGTTCTGGGCCCGCTCCCTGCCCCATCCCAGGTGCAGATCTCTGTCCCCTGGTCCCAGTGCCCTGTCCTGCTTCATGTCCTTGGTCCTTGTCCCACCCCTGCTTCGATGCCTGTCCTTGGTCCCTGTCCCCTGCCCTGGTGCATGTCCCCATCCCCTGCTCCCTGTCCCGTCCCTGTCCCTTCCCCTGCTCCCTGTCCCTTCCCCTGCTCCCTGTCCCATCCCTGTCCCATCCCCTGCTCCCTGTCCCCTGCCACGTGTCCCCATCCCCTGCTCCCTGACCTGTCCCTTGGTCCCTGTGCCATCCCCTGCTCCCTGTCCCCCGCCCTGGGGACAAGCATGTCCCCATCACTTGTACCCCATTCTCTGTCCTTATCCCCATCCCCTGGTTCCTGTCCCATCCTTTGATCCCTGTCCTATCCCTTGGTCCCTGTCCTGTCCCTTGGTCCGTGTCCCTTGCCCTGGTGCCTGTCCCCTGCCCTGGTGTATGTCCCCATCCTGCTGTCCCTGTCCCCTCCCTCTGTCCCCATCCCCTCCTGCTGTCCCCATCCCCTGCTCTAGTGCATGTCCTGGTCTCCTCCTGGTGTCCCCAACCCCTCTCCCTGTCCCTGTCCCCTGTCCCTGTCCCCTGTCCCTGTCCCCTTTCCCTGTCCCCATGTCCCCAGCCCCGCTCACCCCGTGTCCCCCCCGTGTCCCCTGTGTCCCCCAGGCCCAGCAGTTCTTCTCGTCACCGCCACCGGCCCCGTGGCCCCGGCTGGCCGAGGTGCTGAGCTGGCAGTTCCAGAGCGTGGCCGAGCGGGGCCTCAGCCGGGACAACCTCCTGATGCTGGCCAAGAAACTCTTGGGTGAGGCTGGGGACACGGGGGGACACGGGGGGACATGGCTGCACTGTCCCCCCTCACCCTGCTCTCACCCCAAGGCTCGAAGCCGTCACTGGACAGCACCGTGGCCTGGCCCAAGTTCTCAAAGGTCAGTAGGGCCTGTCCCCTCTGTCCCCATGGCCCTGTCCCCGCTGTGGCCGTGTCTCCCCATGGCCCTGCTCCTCGTGTCCCTCCTGTCCCTCCATGTCCCTTGTTCCCCTCTGTCCCCCCTGTCCATCTGTGTCCCCATGTTGTCCCCTCCCTCCATGTCCCTCCATGTCCCCATGTCCTATCTGTCCTTCCCCCCGTCCCTCCATGTCCCCTGTCCCTATGTCCCACCTGTCCCTCCTTGTCCCCCATGTCTCCTATGTCCCCATGTCCCCCCCATGTCCCCATGTCCCCCATGTCCCCCATGTCCCCATATCCCCCCCATGTCCCCATGTCCCCATGTCCCCATGTCCCCCCATGTCCCCATGTCCCCCATGTCCCCCCCATGTCCCCGTGTCCCCTCTCGCCCAGGACAGCGGCTCCGGTTTCTCCTTCTGGGCCTGGCTGGACGGGATCCTGGGGCTGCTCCAGGAGCACCTGAAGCAGCTCTGGAAGAAGGGGTAGGAACGGGGCTGGGGGTGCCACGGGGGTGCCACGGGGGTGCCACGGGGGTGCCACGGGGGCTGACGGTGCCACCCCCAGACTCATCCTGGGCTTCGTGAGCCACAAGCAGAAGGAGAAACTGCTCAAGTGCAAACGGTCGGGGACGTTCCTGCTGCGCTTCAGCGAGACCGTCCTGGGCGGCGTCACCTTCACGTGGGTGGAGCACCCCGAGACGGGTGAGTGACCCCCCAGGACCCCCCAACAGCCCGGGGGCAGAGCAGTGAGCAGTGGGAGAAGCCTCTGGAAGGATGGGAGTTCCCAAATCCACGGAGGGAGGGGATGTGCGGGTGGGCTTTGTCCCGGGGGTTACGCTGGGACACCCTGGAGGTTCAGGCAAAGAGGAGAAACCTCCCTCCCCTGAAGTTTAGCAAGAGGATAAATTCAGATTTCACGTCAAACCTGGATTCCCATCTCCAGCACGGCTTCCCGTGGGGCGCGGTGTCACCCCCCGGCTGACCCCTGCTGTCCCCCCGCAGGACCCCCCATTTTCCACGCCGTGGAGCCCTACACGGCCTCGGAGCTGGTGTCGCTGGCGCTGCCCGACATCATCCGGGACTACCACATGAGCATGGAGGAGAAGAATCCAGAGAACCCCCTCAAGTTCCTGTACCCCAACATCGCCCGCGACGAGGCTTTCGGGCCCTTCTACAGCCAGAGGCTGGAGGGTACGGCCTGGCACGGCCTGGCATGGCCTGGCATGGTCTGGCACGGCCTGGCACTGAGCCAGGGCAGTGTCTGCCACCCCCCTGACCCCTCTCTGCCACCCCCCGACCCCTCTCTGCCACCCCCCGACCCCTCTCGTTGTCCCCAGGGAACCTGAGTGATTCGCAGAAATACCTGAACCGGCGCCTCATCCGCGTGTCCTCCAGGTGAGGGGATGTGGGGACACCTCCAGGGGCCTGTGGGGTCCCTGACCCTAACCCCGATCCCTGATCCTGATCCCAATCCCCAGCCCAGATTCCTGACCCCAATCCCTGGCCCTGACCCCAACCCTGTCCCCAATCCCTGACCCCTGTCCCCAGTCCCTGACCCCAACCCCTGACCCCAATCCCCAATCCCTGACCCCAATCCCCAATCCCCAATCCCTGACCCCAATCCCTGACCCCAATCCCCAATCCCTGACCCCAATCCCCAACCCCTGACCCCAATCCCAATCCCTGACCCCAATCCCCAATCCCTGACCCCAATCCCCAACCCCTGACCCCTGTCCCCAATCCCTGACCCCTGTCCCCAATCCCTGACCCCTGTCCTCAATCCCTGACCCCTGTCCCCAACCCCTGACCCCAATCCCTGACCCCCAATCCCCAATCCCTGACCCCAATCCCCAGTCCCCAACCCCTGACCCCAATCCCCAACCCCTGACCCCAATCCCCAATCCCTGACCCCAATCCCTGACCCTGACCCCAATCCCCAATCCCTGACCCCAATCCCTGACCCCGATCCCCAACCCCTGACCCCAATCCCCAATCCCTGACCCCAATCCCTGACCCTGACCCCAATCCCCAATCCCTGACCCCAATCCCTGACCCTGACCCCAATCCCCAATCCCTGACTCCAATCCCCAATCCCTGACCCTGATCCCCAATCCCTGACCCCAAATCCTGACCCCAATCCCCAATCCCTGACCCCAGTCCCCCACCCCTGACCCCAATCCCTGACCCTGACCCCAATCCCCAATCCCTGACCCCAATCCCTGACCCTGACCCCAATCCCCAATCCCTGACCCCAAATCCTGACCCCAATCCCCAATCCCTGACCCCAGTCCCCCACCCCTGACCCCAATCCCTGACCCTGACCCCAATCCCCAATCCCTGACCCCAATCCCTGACCCTGACCCCAATCCCCGATCCCTGACCCCAATCCCTGACCCTGACCCCGTGTCTCTCCCTCCAGGCCACCCAACCGGCGGCAGACAGAGGAGGAGCTGGTGGTGGCCACGCAGGACCTGCAGATGCTGCAGCTGCAGCCCCGAGGGCAGGGGACACAGCAGCCTGGTGGCCTGCCATGGCCACAGCCCTTGGGGACACTGCAGGTCACCCCTGGGAACCTGGGGACCCCTCAGGGGGTGACCATGACCCCGGGGACACTGCAGGTCACCCCTGGGAACGTGGGGACCCCTCAGGGGGTGACCATGACCCCGGGGACACTGCAGGTCACCCCTGGGAACCTGGGGACCCCTCAGGGGGTGACCGTGACCCCGGGGACACTGCAGCCCAGGGGCTTGGGGATGCTGCAACCACAGCCCCAAAGCCTGGAGCCACCACAGGTGGCATCAGGGGTCCCCAACTTCCAGGGGACACTGCAAGTGGCCCCAGGGGCTGTGGGGACCGTGCAGGTGCTGCCTGGGGGGCTGCGGGGGGACTCGGGGACACTGCTGGGGACAGTGGCCGTGAGCTCGGGGACACTGCCAGCGGAGCAGGGGACACTGCCAGCGGAGCTGAGGGACCTGGAGCTGCTGCCGGGGGGTCGGGACATGCAGGAGCTGCTGCAGTCGCTGCAGGAGCTGGAGCCGGGCCTGGAGGCGGCGGGGCTGATGCCAGACGTGGTGCCAACCTTGGAGGAGAGTTTCCAGCTGAGCCCCGGTGAGTGTCGGGGCTGGGGAGGGCACAGAGGTGTCCCCTGGGCACTGAGATGTCCCCCTGGGCACTGCCCTGTCCCCCTGGGCACTGCCCTGTCCCCTGGGCACTGAGATGTCCCCTGGGCACTGAGATGTCCCCCTGGGCACAGAGCTGTCCCCCTGGGCACTGCGCTGTCCCCCTGGGCACTGCCCTGTCCCCTGGGCACTGCCCTGTCCCCCTGGGCACTGCTCTGTCCCCCTGGGCACTGCTCTGTCCCCCTGGGCACTGAGCTGTCCCCCTGGGCACTGAGCTGTCCCCTGGGCACTGAGATGTCCCCCTGGGCACTGCCCTGTCCCCCTGGGCACTGCCCTGTCCCCCTGGGCACTGAGCTGTCCCCTGGGCACTGAGCTGTCCCCCTGGGCACTGCCCTGTCCCCCTGGGCACTGAGCTGTCCCCTGGGCACTGAGCTGTCCCCTGGGCACTGAGATGTCCCCTGGGCACAGAGATGTCCCCTGGGCACTGAGCTGTCCCCCTGGGCACTGTGCTGTCCCCTGGGCACTGAGATGCCCCCTGGACACTGAGATGCCCCCGGGCACTGCCCTGTCCCCCCGCAGGCAGCGCCGCGCTCCTGGACCAGCACGACCCGTTCCTGCCGCAGCCCGAGGACTCGGTCCTGCCCATCGTCCCCTCCCTCTTCACCGACTTCCCCCCGCTCCACATCGACCCCAGCGACTTCCAGTGACCCCTCCCCGCTCCTTGTCCCTTCCAGTGACCCCTCCCCGCTCCTTGTCCCTTCCAGTGACCCCTCCCCGCTCCCTTTCCCTTCCAGTGACCCCTCCCCGCTCCCTTTCCCTTCCAGGGACCCCTCCCCACTCCCTTTCCCTTCCAGGGACCCCTCCCCGCTCCCTTTCCCTTCCAGGGACCCCTCCCCTCTCCTTTTCCCTTCCAGTGACCCCTCCCCGCTCCTTTTCCCTTCCAGGACCCCCTCCCCTGTAAATAAATCCCCTTCCCACCGCCCCCCGCACGCAGGAGCCGCTCGCTCGTCTCTGTCAGACCTTTATTAGAAACCTATAAATAACGATAAATAAAGAAATCATAAATAAACCCCCCGGGCGAGGGGCAATAAATAGGGGAGGGGGCGGTGTCCGGTGGGGCTCAGCGGGCGCGGTGGTTGAAGACGCGGCCGATGAGGGCGGCGAAGGAGCGGAGCCGTTTCAGGGCCAGGTGCCGGTGCAGCGGCTGCTCCCACACCTTGGTGGGGGCCAGGGGGTCCCGGGGGGCTCGGCCGTGCCCGTCCTGCGGGGACAGCGCGGTCAGGGCGGGGCTGAGCACCGCCTGCGTGCCCGGTGAGGCGGGGTGGGCTCCCCGGTGCTCCCGGTGAAGCTCCGGTGAATCCCCGGTGAAGCTCCGGTGCAGCCCCGGTGAAGCCCCGGTGAAGCCCCGGTGCAGCCCCGGTGCTCCCGGTGAAGCCTCACCTGGACGTGGCGCAGCAGCTGCTCCATGGTGGTCTCCAGCTGCGGCTGCGGCTGCTCACGGAAGATGTCGGAGCCCAGCAGGTCCCGGTAGTGCTGCAGGGCCTGGCGGATCCGGTGCAGGCAGCGCTGTGGGGAGGGGGCGCTGGGATGGGGGTCCGGGACCCTCCCGGGGCATCCCCGCACCCCCACCGGCACCCCCGGGCATCCCCGGGGGGCGCATCCCTCGGTATCGCTGGGACCCCTCTGGGACCTCCAAACGCATCCTCGGCACCCCCGGGACCCCCGGACATCCCCGGGACCCCCAAGTGCATCCCCGAGACCCCTCTGGGACCTCCAAACTCATCCTTGGCAACCCCCCAGGACCCCCAGGTGCCTCCCTCAGCCTTCCTGGGACCCCCAGGCACCCCCAGGACCCCCAGGTGCACCCCCCAGCACCCCTGGGACCCCCAGGTGCACCCCCAGGACCCCCAGGAGCAACCCCCAGGACCCCCAGGAGCCCCAGGTGCACCCCCCAGCACCCCTGGGACCCCCAGGACCCCCAGGACCCCCAGGTGCACCCCCCAGCACCCCTGGGAACTCCAGGCACGTTCCACAACACCCCCGGGCACCCCAGAGCATCCCCGGGACCCCCCGGACACATCTGGGGACCCCAAAACACAGCCCGTAGCACCCCTGGTGTATCCCCAGGACATTTTGGGGGACCCCCAGACCTCCTTGGGACCCCAAACGAACCCCCAGAGCATCCCCGGGACCCCCCCCGAGCACACCCGGGATGCCCAAGCGACCCCCCCGAGCCCCGCAGCCCCTCGGTGTCCCCGGTTGCCCCCCGGTACCGTGTGGTTGCTCTCCAGGGTCTGGGGGTCGCAGGCGTCGCTGCAGCGGATCCGGGGGGGCCAATTTTGGGGTTCCTCCTCCAGCAGCTGCATCCCCTCCTGGAGCGGCGATCGGAGCGTTCCACACGCGCCCGGTACCGCCGGGGGGACACCGAGCTCCCGGTACCGCCGGGGGGACACCGAGCTCCCGGTACCCCGGGGGGACACCGAGCTCCCGGTGCCGCCCCCGCCGCGATGCTCCTGCACCTCCCGGTGCTTCCCGAGCCCCCCGGTGCCCCCGCCGAGCCCCCCGGTGCTTCCCAAGCCCCCGGTGCCCCTGACCGAGCTCCCGGAATCCCGACCGAGCCCTCTGGTGCTTCCAGAGCCCCCCGGTGCTTCCCGAGCTCCCGGTTCTTCCCGAGCCCCCCGGTGCCCCCGGCCGAGCTCCCGGAATCCCGACCGAGCCCCCCGGTGCTTCTCGAGTCCCCCGGTGCCCCTGGCCGAGCCTCCCGGTGATTCCCGAGCACCCATCCCGAGCCTCCCGGTACCCTCGACCGAGCTTCCCGCTGCTTCCCGGCCGAGCCCCCCGGTGCTTCCCGAGCTCCCCGGTGCCCCTGACCGAGCTCCCGGTGCCCCTGACCGAGCTCCCGCAATCACGGCCGAGCCCCCCGGTGCTCCCCAAGCCCCCGGTGCCCCCGCCGAGCCCGCCGCTCTCACCAGCACCGGGTGCGGCTCCCGGACCGTCCCCAGCAGCCGCGCCAGCTCCCGGGACAGGACCCGGCAGGCGGCCCAGTCCGGGCGGCGGAGCGGTGCCGGTGCCGGTGCCGGTGCCGGTGCCGCGGGAGGCGGCGGCAGCAGAACGAGGAGCAGCCAGAGGCGGAGGCGGCGGAGCGGAGCCATCCGAGCTCGGTCTGTGCCGCCACCGGCGCCGCCACCGGGGCTCTTATGGGGCGGCGGCAGGTGGGGAATCCCGGGGCAGGTGACTCCCGCCCCTCGCCGCCGCCGCCGCCGCCCCTCGAAAGCAGAACCGATACCGGGCCGGGGTCCCCGCGCTGCGCCCGCCGCACCGGGACGGGACGGGACGGGACGGAAAACCCGGGGCAGTTCCTGGCGGGATGGGCGGCACCGGCACCGGGATCGCCACCGGGACCGGCACCGGGGGCGTCCCCTCGCTGCACCTGGGCTGCCCCGGCGGGCGCACCGGGAGCCCGCGGTGTCCCCTTGTTGTCCCCTCGCTGTCCCCTCGCTGTCCCCTCGCTGTCCCCTCGTTGTCCCCTCGCTGTCCCCTCGCTGTCCCCTCGGTGCCGGGCCGGGGCGGCTCCGGCGCTTCCCGCTCCGCCCGCCGGGGCTGCCCCCGGTTTTCCCCGGCACCGGGAGCGCCGCGGGCACCGGGGATGGGGCGGGGACGCTGCCGGGAGGGAGCTCGGGACACCGGGGACATCGTGGGGACACCGAGGGGACACCGTGGGTGCTGGGGGACATTGAGGGACATTGAGAGACCCTCAGGGACACAGGGGGACACTGGGGGACACCAGGGGGACACTGAGGGACATTTGGGGACACTGAGGGACACCAGGGGGACACTGGGGGACATTTGGGACACTGAGAGACACCAGGGGGACACTGAGGGACATTTGGGACACTGAGGGACACCAGGGGACACTGAGGGACCCGATGGGACACTGGGGGACATTTGGGACACTGAGGGACACTGAAGGACATTGAGGGGACACTGAGGGACATTTGGGACACCGAGGGACATTTGGGACACGGTGGGACCCAGTGTGGGGCCAGGGGACCCCGTGGGACACTGTGGGACCCTGGGGGACACCAGTGGGCACAGTGCGATCCCGGGGGGCTGCGTGGGGCACTTGGGGACACTTTGGGGTGCTGTGGGGTGACAAGGACACGCTGGGACCTCGTCGGGCACCGTGGGACTCCGTGGGACCCCGTGGGCTGGCAGAGGACACCGGGGGACACCGGGGGACACCGGGACATGCCAGGGGACATTTGGGGACACTCTGGGGTGCCGTGGGGTGCCAGGGGACCCCAGGGGACACTGCGGGGGACACTGAAGGGCAGCTGGGGACACTTTGGGGATCCCACGGGGTGCCCGGGACACGGTGGGACCCCCGTGGGACACCGTGGGACCCCCGTGGGACACGGACCCCACCGCACGCTGCGTAGGAATACCACGGGACAGCGTGGGACACTTGAGGACACTCGGTGACACCGGGGGTTCTGAGAGCCTCTCGGGGGTCCCGGGACTCCCCCCGGGGCTCCCCCGCCGCGAACCAGCCGCTTGCATCCTTTTTGTCCCGTGCGCCGCCCCGTCCCGCCGCGCCGCTTAGTCCCGCCTCCCTCGGGCGCTGATTGGTCAGTTCCCGGCGCTCGGCGCTGCCATTGGTCGGTGTCCCGGGGCGGCCCGGTGCACCGGGCAGGGGCGCGGTTGCCGTAGCGACGGCGGGAGCGGCCCCGGGCCCGGCCCGGCCGCGGCGGCGGCGGCGGCGCAGCGGGACGAGCCCGGCAGCGCGGCCCCGGCGCGGCTGTGCCCGCGGCGGCTCGGTAAGGGCGCGCGCGGCGACTCCGGGCTCGGTGAGCGCGGCGGCTCCGGGCTGGGCCCCGCCCGGCCTCGCCCGGCACTGCGGCCGCTGATAGCGCCGGTCCCGCCGGAGCGTTGGGTGTGGGCCCGTGGTGATGAAGGCGGCGGGTGCGGAGCTGGCTCGGAGCAGCGGGGCTGGGGCGGGGCCCGGTTTGGCTGCCCGGGAGGCTCCCCGGGGCCTTGGGACACTGCCCGGTGCTCAGGGGCCGCTCCCCGGTGCCTTGGGACACTGCCCGGTGCTCAGGGGCCGCTCCCCGGTGCTTTGGGACACTGCCCGGTGCTCAGGGACCGCTCCCCGGTGCCTTGGGACACTGCCCGTTTCCTCTGGAGGTTGCTCCGTGCTCTGGGACCACTGCCCGGTATCCCCGGGAGGCTGCCTGGCACCTTGGGATGCTGCCCGGTTACTCCGGATGCTGCCCGGTGCCCAGGGAGCGTTCCCGGTGCCCAGGGATCAATGCCCGGTGCCCCGGGAGCCCTGCCCGGTGCTCAGGGACCCGCCGTTCCCATCCCATCACCGGTTCCAGGAGCCCCGGGCACCCCGTGGGGTCCCCAAAGTGTCCCCAGCTGCCCTTCAGTGTCCCCCGCTGTCCCCTGGGGTCCCCTGGCACCCCACGGCACCCCAGAGTGTCCCCAAATGTCCCCTGGCACGTCCCGGTGTCCCCCGGTGTCCCCCGGTGTCCTCTGCCAGCCCACGGGGTCCCACGGAGTCCCACGGTGCCCGACGAGGTCCCAGCGTGTCCTCCCACAGTGTCCCAAATGTCCCTCGGTGTCCTGAATGTCCCTCAGTGTCCCTCAGTGTCCCTCAGTGTCCCTATTGTCTCTCAGTGTCCCATGGGGTCCCTCAGTGTCCCTCAGTGTCCTGAATGTCCCTCGGTGTCCCTCAGTGTCCCTCACTGTATCTCAGTGTCCCTGAGGGTCCCTCAGTGTCCCAAATGTCCCTCGGTGTCCCTGAGGGTCCCTCAGTGTCCCTCACTGTCCCTCACTGTATCTCAGTGTCCCTCAGTGTCCCTCAGTGTCCCCAGGTGTCCCTCAGTGTCCCTTGGTGTCCCTCAGTGTCCCCAGGTGTCCCTCAGTGTCCCAAATGTCCCTCAGTGTGCCCAGGTGTCCCTCAGTGTGCCCAGGTGTCCCTCAGTGTCCCCAGGTGTCCCTCAGTGTCCCTCAGTGTCCCATGGGGTCCCTCAGTGTCCCCAGGTGTCCCTCAGTGTCCCCAGGTGTCCCTGACCCACCTCCCCGCCCCCTTTCTCCCCTCAGGGCCGGGCCCCACCATGAACTTCGAGGGGCTGCCCCCGTCTCTGGCCGAGTTCGCGGCCCCGCTGCACGCGGCGCTGGAGCCGGTGCTGGAGCCCCACCTGCCGCCCAGCCTGGTGGAGCTGGACCCCGAGGGGGTGTCCCTGGAGGGGCTCCCGGTGCCCGAGCCCGTGCACCTGCTGGAGGGCATGTACAGCGAGCTGCACACGGCCGTCTCCGAGGTCGGCGTGCCCGCCGCCGTCGCCCACTTCGACCTGCACGAGGAGATGCTGTGGGTCGGCAACCACGGCGTACGTGGGGAGGGGCTGGGGGGTTCTTGGGGGGTTTGAGAAGGTGTTGGGAGGTTCTGGGGAGGTTTTCAGAGATTTTGGGAGGTTCTGGAGAGGTTTTGGGAGGTTCTTGGGGCTTTTGAGAAGGTTTTGGGAAGGTCTGGAGAGGTTCTTGAAGGTTTTGAGAAGGTTTTGAGATGTTCTGGGAGGTTCTGGGGAGGTTTTCAGAGGTTTTGGGAGGTTCTGGAGAGGTTTTGGGGAGGTTCTGGAGAGGTTTTGGGAGGTTCTGGAGAGGTTCTGGGAGGTTCTGGGAGGTTTTGAGAAGGTTTTGGGAGGTTCTGGAGAAGTTCTAGGAGGTTTTCAGAGGTTTTGGGAGGTTCTGGGAGGTTCTGGGAGGTTTTGAGAAGGTTTTGGGAGGTTCTGGAGAGGTTTTGGGGAGATTTTGAGAAGGTTTTGGGAAGGTCTGGAGAGGTTCTTGGAGGTTTTGAGAAGGTTTTGGGAGGTTCTGGAGAGGTTCTTGGAGGTTTTGAGAAGGTTTTGGGAGGTTCTGGAGAGGTTCTTCCCAAAATCCTGTCTAACCCCACCCTGTGTCTCTGTGGAGCCGTTGTCCCCTGTCCTGGTGCTCCTTGCTGATGTCCCAAGTCCATCTCCAGCTCTCTTGGAGCCCCTTTAGCCACTGGAAGGACTCCAAGGTCTCCACACTCATCCCATTCCTTGTCCTTCCACTATCCCGGGGTGCTCCCAGCCCTGTCCAACCCGGCCCTGGACACTTCCACAGCAACCACAGCTTCTCTGGGAGATCCATTCCAGCACCTCGCCATCCTCCCAGGGAGGAATTTCGCCCCTCTATCCCATCTAAATCTCCTCTTTTGGTTTCAAACCTTTCCCCTTTGATCTGCCCTTGTAAATTCTCGGAGCACAAACCTCTCACTGCTTCCCCTGTCACTGCTGTGGGGTCATGTTGGGATTTTTTATTTATCCAGGGAAAAGCCTGAGCTGCTTCCCCCAGTTTGGAGCACCCAGGAGTGCCAGGAATGCCCCCATAACCTGGAAAATCCGGGATCTGACAGAGGACAAAGTGATGCTCAGCTGTGCCACACCCACTGGGACATGGGGTTGTGACATCCCTGTCCCCTCTGCTTTCAGGGCCACGCCACCTCCTTCTTCGGGCCCACGCTGGAGCGCTACTCCTCCTTCCAGGTGAACAGCAGCGACGACATCCGCCAGATCCAGAGCCTGGAGAACGGCGTCCTCTTCCTCACCAAAAGCAACCTCAAGTACCTGTCCCGGGGCGGCCTCATCATTTTCGACTACCTGTGAGTGCTCCTGGCCCCTCCAGCCCTTCCCTGATCCCTCCAGGGGCTGGGCAGGGTCGCAGGGGTGTCAGGGTCCCTGGGGTGTCAGGGCTGTCACATTCTCAGGGGTCCCTGGGGTCTCAGGGGTCCCTGGGGTCTCTGGGGTGTCAGGGCTGTCAGGGTCCCTGGGGTCTCAGGGGTCTCAGGGTGTCCTGCCTGTCCCCCAGCATGGATGAATCCGAGGACATGCACAGCCTCCTGCTGACGGACAACAACACCCTGCTGGTGGCTGGGCTGCAGAACCACGTCCTGGAGATGGACCTCAACACCGTCCAGGAGACGCAGAAGGTGTGGCAGGGCCAGGGGCTGCTCCCTGGAGCTTTGCTCTGGGATTTTTCCCTGCTCATCCCTGCTCTTCCCTTCTTTCATCCCTGCTCATCCCTGCTCTTCCCTGCTCTCATCCCTGCTCTTCCCTGCTCTTTGCTCATCCCTGCTCTTCCCTGCTCTCATCCCTGCTCATCCCTGCTCTTCCCTGCTCATCCCTGCTCTTCCCTGCTCTCATCCCTGCTCATCCCTGCTCTTTGCTCATCCCTGCTCTTCCCTGCTCTCATCCCTGCTCATCCCTGCTCATCCCTGCTCTCATCCCTGCTCATCCCTGCTCTCATCCCTGCTCATCCCTGCTCTCATCCCCGCTCTTCTCTGTTCATCCCTGCTCTTTGCTCATCCCTGCTCTTCCCTGCTCTCATCCCTGCTCTTCCCTGCTCATCCCTGCTCTTTGCTCATCCCTGCTCTCATCCCTGCTCATCCCTGCTTTTTGCACATCCCTGCTCTTTGCACATCCCTGCTCTTTGCTCATCCCTGCTCTTTGCTCATCCCTGCTCTTCCCACCTCTCTCCCAGTACACCGTGGAGGTGCCCGGCATCACCATCATGAGGCAATCCAACCGCTTCTTCTTCTGCGGGCACACCTCGGGCAAGGTAACGCCTGTGCAGGGGGGGAATCCCGGGATTTGGGCTCTTCCCAGAGCTCCAGAGGCCGGGTGGCCGCAGCCGGGACGTCCCCTCGCAGGTGTCCCTGCGTGACCTGCGCACCTTCGTGGTGGAGCACGAGTTCGACGCGCACTCCGGGAGCTTGTCGGACTTCGACGTGCACGGCAACCTGCTGGTGACCTGCGGCTTCTCCAGCCGCATGAACGGCCTGGCCTGCGACCGCTTCCTCAAGGTCTACGACCTGCGCATGATGAGGGCCACCACCCCCCTGCAGGTCCACATCGACCCCTTCTTCCTCCGCTTCATCCCCACCTACACCTCCCGCCTGGCCATCATCTCCCAGACAGGTGCGGGGAGCTGTGGGGGACGCTTCTGTCAAGGTTTAATCATTCTCCACAAATCCCTTTCCCACGTGTGGGGACGGTCCTGGTGTCCCCAAGTTCAGGGTTGGGTCCTGTGGGATTTGGGTTGGAGCAGAGGAGAATGAGGGGAGAGCTCACAGCTTCTCACGTTGCTCTCTAGGATGGTGACAGGACCCAAGGGAGTGGCTGGAGCTGTGTTAGAAGGGATTTAGTTGGGATTTTGGGAAAAGATTCTTCCTCCAGAGGGTGGTTGGGCACTGAAAAGGCTCTTGGTCATGGTCCCAAGGCTGCCAGAGCTCCGGGAACGTTTGGGCAGCGCTCTCAGGCACAGAATGGGATTTTGGAGTGTTCCGTGCAAGGACAGGAGTTGGATTTTCATCCTTGTGGGTCTCTTGCAGCTCAGGGTATTCCATGATTCCAGAGACCAGAGAGTGTCTGAACGATGCTCTCAAGTCCTTAATGCTTTCAGGTGTTGGGATTTGGGGATTTGAGGAAATTTGGGGGGACAGGAGTTGGACTTCAACCCTTGAGGGTTCCTTTCAGCTGAAAGGAAATATTTCATAATTCCATAGGCCAGGGAGTGTTTGGACGTCACTTTCAGATGTTGGGATTTGGGGATTTGAGGAACTTTTGGGCTTGTCCTGTGCTGGGCCAGGAGTTGGACTCGATGATCCTTGTGAGGTTTTTTCAGCTCAGGACATTCCATAATTTTCCATCATTTGAGAGGTCAGGGAGTGTTTGGACAATGCTCTCAGGTGTTGGGATTTGAGGACTGGGGAGGTTTTGGGGTCTTGTGCTGGACCAAGAGTTGGACTTGATGATCCTTGTGAGGTTTTTTTAGCTCAGGATATTCCATCATTTGAGAGGTCAGGGAGTGTTTGGACAATGCTCTCAGGTGCTGAGATTTGGGACTGGAGAAGTTTTGGGCTTGTCCTACTCAGGACCAGGAGCTGAACTTTGATCCTTGTGGGTCCTTTCCCACTCAGAACATTCCACGACGCTTATCCAAGTGCTGCTGTCCCACGTCCAGCCACTTCAGCAGCCACATCCTGCCTCCCACCACCCCCAAAGCCACACTGCCTTGCTTTTCCCTCCCTGCCAGGCCAGTGCCAGTTCTGTGAGCCCACCGGGCTGGCCAACCCCGCCGACATCTTCCACGTCAACACCGTGGGGCCGCTCATCATGACCTTCGACGTGTCGGCCAGCAAGCAGGCGCTGGCCTTCGGCGACTCCGAGGGCTGCGTCCACCTCTGGGCCGACTCCCCGGAGGTGACTTTCAACGCCTACTCCCGGGAGACCGACTTTGCCCTGCCCTGCATGGTGGACACGCTGCCACACCTGGACTGGAACCAGGACCTGGTGCCGCTGTCGCTGATCCCGGTGCCGCTGACCAGCGACGCGCTGCTCTCCGACTGGCCGGCCGCCAACTCCGCCCCGGCGCCGCGGTAATTCCCGAATTCCCGGGGAAAGGCTGGCTCTGGAGAGTCCCTCTCTTTCCTCATGCCTGGAGTGGCTACCTAGGACTGAGGATAGAGGGAATGAAAAGCAGGAGTTTGTTGAAGGCCTTCAATAGGTGCACCTTGGGCGGTCAAAGCCTCCCAGATGCTGGTCGTGAGTTTTTCACACTTTTATATAAGTTTGGTGCATTTACATATCAGGGGTTAATCCTCCAATTACAGCCTCAGGTAATGGAGTTATTTACTCCAATTACAGCCTCAGGTAATGGAGTTGTTTACTCCAATTACAGCCTCAGGTAATGGAGTTATTTACTCCAAGTTTGCTCCCCTCAATTCACTGTTGTTTACATCTCTGGGAGCTTGAGACATTCAGGTATTTTTGAGTTTCAGAGAGGAATTCTTGCATCTAAATAAAATGGGAGAATAGCAGGCTGTGGAGTTGTAGAGTTATACACTAAAGTAGTACAGGGTCTGAAAAATAGAAAAGCTAAATCCTGAGGCATCATCCCTGCTTGCCTGGAAACACCAGGTGAGTTTCCTGCAGTGGAGGTGTGACTGGGCAGGTGTGAGGATGGTGGGACATGGCCCAACCTCCCTCCCTCCCGCTCCCAGTGGGATCCTGGCTCTGCTCTGCCCACGTGGGATCTCCTTTTCCCTCTTCCTACCCCCAACACCCCCGTGCTCAGCGCTGCTGCCCCGGCACGTCCCTCACTGGGATGGAAAAGGAACCTGGGGAGGGGGGGGACACTCAGGAGCACCCTCAGGGTGGGTCCCTGGGCACCCCTGGGTGGGTGGGAGATGCTGCTCTGAGGCAGGGGGTGTTTCCAGGCGAGCCCCCCCGGTGGACCCCGAGATCCTGCGCACCATGAAGAAGGTGGGATTCATCGGCTACGCCCCCAACCCCAGGACCAAGCTCCGTAACCAGGTACCCGCTCCCAGGAGGGGATTTTGGGAGGGTGGAGCTCTGCAGCCTGGGAGGGGATGGAGCTCTCTGCGTGCTGAGGGATCCCCCGAGGTTTCAGGGATGGGGACAAGAGGTGGAATTCCCTTGGGATGGTGCAGGTGTAGTTTGGAGGTGGCAGCTTCTCCTCAGCAGGGAAAGAGATGGAGTTTTCCCAGTTCCATCCCTCCGTGGCTCTGTGGGCAGGGAAGGTCTGAGCTGTTGGGAGATTCATGGCACGTCCCTCACGCTTGGGAAAACACTGCCCTGTGCTTTCCCACAGTGACAAATCCCTGCAAGCAGGAAGGTGTGGAGGCCTCCTGCAGGTCCAGGGAGGGCCCCACTCCATTCTGGTGGATCCCTTTGCTCATTCAGGGAGGCAGGAAAGCCCGGGAGTTGCTTGTGGGGTTTCTCCTCACCTCAGGGTTCAGCTGCTCACCTCTTCTCTCTCCCTGCTCGAAGATTCCTTACCGGTTAAAGGAGATGGACAACGAGTTTGACAACTTCAGCCAAGTCCCTGAGTCCCCGATCGGGCGAGAGGAGGAGCCTCACCTCTACAGGGTGGCCAAGAAGTACAGGAAGGTGGTGGCCTTGGGGGGCTGCTCTGGGCACGGTGGGGAAAGGCTCTGTGGGGAGCACCGGGGGTCCCACGGGGGTCCCGTGGCGTGGGGGGGTGTTTGTTTCACCTGTCACCTCTCTGCTCAGGTCACCATCAAATACTCCAAGCTGGGGCTGGAGGATTTTGACTTCAAGCATTACAACAAAACGCTGTTTGCGGGGCTGGAGCCCCACATTCCCAACGCCTACTGCAACTGCATGATCCAGGTGGGAGCTGCCCCAGTCCCACCCAGACCCCCGTGCCCCCCAGACCCCCCTGACTGCTGGCTCTCTCCCAGGTGCTGTATTTCCTGGAGCCAGTCCGCTGCCTGGTCCAGAACCACCTGTGCCAGAAGGAATTCTGCCTGGGCTGCGAGCTGGGCTTGCTCTTCCACATGCTGGACCTGTCCCGAGGAGATCCTTGCCAGGTCCGTGCTGGGTGGGGCTGCCCAGGAGGGTCATGAGGACGGCAGAGGAGCGGGAGTGGTGCTGGGCAGGCGGATGGAAACTCCTGTCACTTGACCTCGGTGACTTTGCTCTTGCTCCATCCCCAGGGAAGCAACTTTCTGCGGGCTTTCCGCACCATCCCGGAGGCGTCGGCGCTGGGCTTGATCCTGGCAGACTCGGACGAGGCCACGGGGAAGGTGAACCTGGGGCGGCTGATTCAGAGCTGGAACCGTTTCATCCTGACTCAGCTGCACCAGGAAACGCAGGAGCAGGAGGGACCCCAGGCCTACCGAGGGGCTGGCAGCAGGTGGGACAGGGAATGAGCCAGCTGGGGAGGGGGACTGGCCACCAGAGACCCCACCCATCCCTCAGGAAGTTTTCTTGCCACTCATGCCCTGAGGAACCCATGGGAACTGCAGCTCCCTTCATACTTGAGCCCTGTGCTAAGCCTCTGCCCTCCTAAAACCGGTTTGGAGGCTTGAGGCTTAGCAGAGGACAGCAGCTGAGGGGCTTGGAAGGTTACTCAGATGGCTGATTCCCCAAAATCTGCTGGAATGTGGGAGCTGGCCCTGTGCAGACTGAGCTGTGGGTCCCCAGCTTAGGGGTCTCTGCTGATCCCAGTGCTGTTTTTTTCCAGCAGCTTTGGCTCCTCGGGGGACTCTGTCATCGGGCAGCTGTTCAGCTGTGAGATGGAGAACTGCAGCATGTGCCGCTGTGGGAAGGAGACTGTCCGTGTGTCCTCCACGCTGCTCTTCACCCTCTCCTACCCTGACAGCACGGGTAAGAGCGGGGCCCAGCCCCCTCAGCTGGGTGGGGTTTGTTATCCATGACTTTTCCAGCTGGAACACACCCACAGCCAGGAGCTGCCTCAAGCTCCAGGGTGGGTTTCCAACCAGCCGAGCTTTTGGCTTCAGAAAGACACTTTTGGGGCTTGACCTTCTGGCTGGTGGTTACGAGGAAAACCCCAGAGGTTTGGCTGAGCTCAGCTGGTCAAGGTTTGTGTGTTGGGGAGGTGACGTTATTCTCCTTTCTCCCTCCAGAAAAGCCGGCCAAGGATTACGAGTTCGCCCAAATTTTAAAGCGCAGCATCTGCTTGGAGCAGAACACGCAAGCCTGGTGTGAGAACTGTGAGAAGTACCAGCCCACGGTGAGCCTGGCTTGGGGGGACAGGCACGAGGGGCCGTGGGGCACGGCCCTGAGGGGGGCAGTTTCTCCTTGAGTCACCGGGAACCTCCTGAGCGGGTGCCAGAGATTCGGTTCCTGGCCCGGCTGGCAGCCGTGGGGTATTTCCTGGGCTCTGTGAATTCATCTCGCAGGGGTAAGGATTCAGCAGGGAGGAACAACCCCCCAGGAGCTGCTGGAGCAGCTCTGTCGTCCTGGAAGTGCCCCCAGGACTGCAGCCAGGCAGGGGAGGAAGCGCTGCAGGCCGAGGCGTTGGCGGGTGTCCCAAATCCCGCTCGGCTGTCCCAAATCCAGCTCGGGGCCTCTCCAGGACTCTCATTCCCATCTCCCCCTCTCCCCGCAGGTGCAGACCCGGAACATCCGCTGCCTGCCAGACGTGCTGGTCATTAACTGTGAGGTGAACAGCTCCAAGGAGGCAGATTTCTGGAAGACACAGGCTGAGGTGGGGGAGACGCTCCGGGGCCGGTTGTCCTGGCACGCGGGGGTTGCGGTGCCCGGCCCCGCCGAGGTTTTTGCTCTGCTCTCGCTGTCTCTGGCCTCTCTCCCTCCACCTGAGCCGTGCTCACAGAGGACCTGGTGCAGTTGGGCCATGCCTGGGGCACGGTCCGTGCCTTTGGAGTCGGAAAAGACGAGATCTCCTGGCGTGGCAGAGCTGAAGGGACTGCAGGAGTGACTTTGTCCTTCCCCCGCCCCCTCTGAGAGCACCAAGGCAGTGACCTTGGGACATTGGGTTTCCCTTGCTTTTTCCCTGTCACCACGTGTAATATCCCTGTTTTTTCCCTGCTCCTGGCCTGGCTGTCACCCACGTGTCCCCAGGGCTGGCCTGTCACCGTGTGTGCTGACGCTTGCCTGTGTTTCGTTGCCAGTATTCCTTTCAGAAAGCCATGATGAAGAGAGGAGGCTTTGACATCACCAAGGGAAAGGAGCTCTCTCTTGGAGAGTGGTAGGTGACCATTCGGGAGGAATTGCTTCATGGAAAGAGTTTGGACCTGCCCAGGGAGGTGGTGGAGTCACCATCCCTGGAGGTGTGCAAGGAATGACAGGATGTGGCACTCTGGTCTGGGTGACAAGGTGGGGGCTGGCCAGAGGTTGGACTTGATGGCCTTGGAAAGCTTTTCCAACCTCAGGGATTCTGGGATCCTCCTCCTGGGGTGGCAGCTCTGAGCAGTGACACCTCCTGGGTGATTCTCTGGGCTATTTCTCATCTAAATAATGTTAATTTGATAACCTGCCTGTCTGAGGCTGCACCACATCCCCTTTGTCACCCACCTCCTGCCCCTTTTGTAACTGACGAAAGCCCCAAAACCACATTGGCTGAGCACCTCTCCCATAGTCTTGGTGCAGGCAGCTCCAGCTTCCCACAGGAATTCCAGGAATCAGCTGGGGGGCAGGTGGGTGGGAGTCCTGGCCTGGGTGACATCTCCCTCCAGCTCAGCTTTCCATGCGCAGGAAGGATCTGGGGAACCCCGAGACGGGGCATTCGTATCCTTCCGTGGAGGAACTGAAGAACATTTGGATCCCTCACGCCATCAAGATGAGGTTGACCAAGAGCAAAGAGCTCGACGTGAGCAACTGGAGCGAGACTGATGAGGTAAAGTGACAGAATCACCGTGGGTGAAGTGACGGAATCACTGTGGGTGAAGTGACAGAACCACTGTGGGTGAAGTGACGGAATCACCGTGGGTGAAGTCACAGAATCGCTGTGGGTGAAGTGACAGAGGCACACGTGGGGCTGTGGGAGCACAGCTGCCTCAGAACCACTTTCTGCTGAGAGATGATGAGGAGATAACTCAGGGGAGCACAGAAATGTCCGGGCTGGTGGTCTGGGGGCTCGGACATTCCCGGTTCCTCCCGCAGCTGAGCCCGACGGACGACCCCGAGTCCGTGTACATCTACGACCTCATGGCCACCGTTGTCCACATCCTGGATTCCCGCACCGGGGGCAGCCTGGTGGGGCACATCAAGGTGGGAGAGACCTACCACCAGCGGAAGGAGGTGAGACCCTGCGGGACCCCCACGGTACCCACGGGAGCCCCCCGAGGGGATCTGTCATTCCTGGGTCTCTCAGCCGAGCGTGGAGGGTTTGGCTGAACGTGCCAAGAGCTGCTGGGGCCCCTCACAGGGAGGGAAGGGTTCTTCCCTCTTCCCACACCCACTCAGGCTGGTTCCTCCTGGCCACGGGCACCGTGCCAGCTTGTCCTTGTGCTTCCAGGTAAGGGCAGGGACGTCATCTCTGTTCCCGAGGAAAGGGCTGGTCTGGGCAGTCCTGGTTTCTGCTGGAGATGCCCAAGGCAGGAATTCCCAGAGTGTGTCAAGGCTGCATCCCTGTCTCTTATCTCTTGCATCTCCCTGGAGTTTTGCTCGGGAGCTGGGCAGAGCCCGGAGCCCGTCCAGCCCAATCCTTTCTCGTCCTCTGTCACCACCCAGGGCAGCAGGGATTTCCCCACGGTGTCCCAGGAAGGGCGGGGGTTCCCACATGGCACCGTCACACCCTCCTTTCCCTGGTAACTGGGCAGAGGAGTCACTCTCTGGCCTGGGGGGGCCCCTGAGCTGTGCCTTTCCCCTCAGGGAGTCACACACCAGCAGTGGTACCTCTTCAACGACTTCCTCATCGAGCCCGTGGACAAGGTGAGCGCCGAGGTGACACCGTGGCCACGCCGTGGAGCCACCCGGGCTGGCCCTGACCGTCCCCCCTCCCCTGCAGTGCGAGGCTGTGCAGTTTGACATGAGCTGGAAGGTGCCAGCCATCCTCTACTACGCCCGGAGGAACCTCAACTCCAAGTACAACCTCGTCAGTGAGTGCCCGGCGTGGAAGTGGCGGCAGGGCCGGCGCCGCCGCCGCACCGCTGAGCTCCTTCCCCTTTCCCTGCACAGTCAAGAACCCCATCGAGGCCAGCGTCCTGCTGGCCGAGGCCTCGCTGGCCCGCAAGCAGCGCAAGTGCCACGCCACCTTCATCCCCCTCATGCTGAGCGAGATGCCCCAGGCCGGAGACCTGGTGGGGCTGGACGCCGAGTTCGTCACGCTGAACGAGGTGGGGGAGCCCCGGGGCTGGGGACAGCAGGGACAGGGGGGACAGGGGGGACAGGGCACGGGGATGGCCCCTCTGGGGCTGTTGGTCACCATGTGTCCCGTCCTGGGTGGCAGGAGGAGGCTGAGCTGCGCAGTGATGGCACCAAGTCCACCATCAAGCCCAGCCAGATGTCGGTGGCCCGGATCACCTGCGTGCGTGGGCAGGGCCCCAACGAGGGCGTCCCCTTCATCGATGACTACATCTCCACCCAGGAACAGGTATGGGGGCCCACCTGGCCTCACGCAGCTCCCCAGGCCCCCAGGAAGGACATGGGCCTGCTCTACAGGTGACAGTGACCTCACGTGGGCACCTGGGTGTTCTCCATGGGGACCTCATCTGGCACCTGTGTTCTCCATGGTGACCTCACCTGGACACCTGGGTGCTCCCCCTGAACTCCTCTGTCCTCTATGGTGACCATATCTGGACACCTGGGTGTTCCCTGTGGACACCTGGCTGCTCTCCAGGGACTCCTTTGTCCCCTTTGGTGACCTTTCCTGGACTCCTGTGCTCTCCATGGACACCTGGGACACCCACCCACCTGGGTGCTCCCCATGGACACCTGGGTGTTCCCCTGTGTTCTCTGTGGTGGCCTCAGCTGGACACCTCTGTGCTCTGCGGTCACCTGGGGCTCTTGTCCTGCAACACCAGCCCCCTCCCAGGGTGCTGAGAGGGGAATTGGGGAGGGGGCAGAGCCCCTGGGCCCCACAGCCCCCTCCAGGTGTCCTGTCTCCACAGGTGGTGGATTACCTGACCCAGTACTCCGGGATCAAGCCAGGAGACCTGGATGCCAAGATCTCCTCCAAGCACCTGACCACCCTCAAATCCACTTACCTGAAGCTGCGTTTCCTCATCGACGTGGGCGTCAAGTTCGTGGGCCACGGGCTGCAGAAGGATTTCCGTGTCATCAACCTGATGGTGACAGCCTGACCCCCTCCCTGGCCACGGTGGGGGGCTGGGGTGGGGCTGGGAGGGGTCGGGCCGGGTCCCTGTCCCCCTGCCCCGGCAGCAGGACCCGGTCCCCTCCCCAGGTGCCCAAGGACCAGGTGATCGACACCGTGTACCTGTTCCACATCCCGAGGAAGAGGATGATCTCCCTGCGCTTCCTCGCCTGGTACTTCCTGGGTCGGTAACGGAGCTCTGGCACCTGGGAAGGGCTGGAACCCCCACCCCGAGCGTCCCCTCGCTGAGCTGGGGTGTCCCCACAGACCTGAAGATCCAGGGGGAGACCCACGACAGCATCGAGGACGCGCGGACGGCGCTGCAGCTGTACCGCAAGTACCTGGAGCTGAGCCCGCAGGGCTCGGAGCCCGAGGAGTTCCGCAAGGTGCTCAAGGGGCTCTACGAGAAGGGCCGCAAGCTGGACTGGAAGGTGCCCGAGCCCGACAGCCAGAGCAGCCCCAAGCGTAAGATGCCACCACTGAGCCCTCCTGTGTCCCCTCTCTCCTCCCCTTGTCCCCTCTCCCCTCCCCGTGTCCCAGCAGACAGGGCCATGTACCCCCCTGTCCCCTCTCCCCTCCCTGGATCCCCTCTTCCCCATGCCCCTCTCACTCAGTGTCCCCTCTCCCCTCCCCGTGTCCCAGCAGACAGGGCCATGTTCCTCCCTGTCCCCTCTCCCCTCCCCGTGTCCCCTCTCCCTCCCCGTGTCCCCTCTCCCCTTCCCATTCACCTCTTGCCCCCGTGTCCCCATGTCCCCTCTCCCTCTGCGGTGTCCCCTCTGCTCTCCGTGTCTCCTCTCCCCTCCCCCTGTCCCCTCTTCCCCCAGTGTCCCCTCTCATCCCCATGTCCCCTCTCCCACCCGGTGTCCCCTCCCTTCCCGGTGTCCCCTCTCTCCCCCCGGTGTTCCCTCTCTCCCCCCGGTGTCCCCTCTCCCCCGGTGTCCCCTCTCCCCCCGGTGTCCCCTCTCCCCCGCTGTCCCCTCTCTCCCGGTGTCCCCTCTCATCCCGGTGTCCCCTCTCCCCCACTGTCCCCTCTCATCCCGCTGTCCCCTCTCCCCCGGTGTCCCCTCTCCCCCAGTGTCCCCTCTCCCCCGGTGTCCCCTCTCTCCCGGTGTCCCCTCTCCCCCGGTGTCCCCTCTCTCCCGGTGTCCCCTCTCCCCCACTGTCCCCTCTCCCCCGGTGTCCCCTCTCATCCCGGTGTCCCCTCTCATCCCGGTGTCCCCTCTCATCCCGGTGTCCCCACAGACGGCGCCGTGTTCCCCCCGGTGCTGGCCCTGTGACCGGAGCCCCCGCGAGGAGCAGCGCCGGGAGCGGCGGCCACGCGTGGAACTGGAACCAGCAGCGGGCCCGGGGCCGTCCCGGACCCGCCCGACCCCCGCCCCGGGCCCGGCACCCCGGGGCTCCCCTTTCCCTGCCGGTACCGGTACCGGTACCGGTACCGGGAAGCACTGCCGGCCCCCGCCCCGCCCGCCCGCCGGACCGGGCGCCCTCATAAAGCAGCCTCGGACCCCCGAGCGAGCGTGTCCTCCTTGGCTCCGGGGCGGGACCTGCACCGGCACCGGGGGCACGGAGCGGGGATGGGGCCGGGAGCGCAGCACGGAGGAGCCGGACCGGGACCGGGACCGGGACCGGACGGGAAGGGCCCGGACCGAGTAGAGCAAGAAGCGGGGCTGGCACCGGGGACAGGGCAGGAATGACCGGGGCTGGGAGCAGGGACAGGGTGCAGCAGAACCGGTCCGGGGCTGGCACCGGGGACACGGCAGGGACCGGGCTCGGAACGGGACCAGCACCGGGGGCACGGCGGGATGGCCTCGGGCAAGACGAGGCTGGCACCGGGAGCGCGGCAGGAAGGACCAACGTTCGGGTCGGTGTTCAGACCGGGGCAGGGCAGGACGGACCCGGCCCAGGCTCGGTCCGGGGCTCAGACTGGGGCACGGCGGGACGGACCGGGACCGGACCGGGGACTCGGCAGGACGGACCAAGACCGGGCCGGGGGCACGGCAGGACGGACCCGGCCCAGGCTCGGTCCGGGGCTCAGACGTGGGCATAGCGGGACGGACGGGACCGGACCGGGAACTCGGCAGGACGGACCGGGAGCGGACCGGGAGCACGGCAGGCTCGGTCCGGGGCTCAGAGCGGGGGATCGGCGGGACGGACCGGGACCAGACCAGGGGCACAGCAGGATGGACCCGGCCCGAGCTCGGTCCGGGGCTGAGACCGGGGGATCGGCGGGACCCTCCCGGTCCCGGTGCCGGTGGCGGCTGAGCCGGGGCGGGGGCGTGGCCAGCCCGCTCAGGTGGGCGGAGCCACCACAGGCCCCGCCCACTCGGGGCCGAGCGCCACGCGGCCGGGCCCTGGCAACGGCGGGGCCCTCGGCGCCCGTCCCGGGCTGCCCGCGGCGCCGCCTGCTCGCGGGACGGCCCCGCCGCGGCCCGAGGATCTGCTCCCGCTGGTCCGACCGGTCCGCCCGGCTCCACCACTCCGCCCGGCTCGTCCGCCGCCCGCTCCGAGCGGCCGTGACCCGCGGAGGTGCGGGCCGGGGGGGCGCGCCGAGAGCGGCGGCGCCGCGGGCAGCCCCGGGGCCGCCGGTCGGTGTGAGGGGCGGTGGGAGCGGGACGGGAGCGGCCGGTACGGGGGGCGCGGGGCGGGGGCTCGGCCGGGAGCGGGATGAGGGGGCTCCGAGGGAGGTGGTGGGCTCCACAGGGGGCTGTGGGGCCTCCCGGAGGGGAGGGGGCTCTGTGGGGGCGGCTGAGCGCTGCCCTATAGGGGAAGGGTCCCTATAGGGGCTCCGGGCTGTGCCCTATAGGGGAGGGGTCCGTGTGGGGGCTCTGGGCTGTGCCCTATAGGGGAGGGGTCCCTGTAGGGGCTCCGGGCTGTGACCTACAGGGGAGGGGTCCCTATAGGGGCTCCGGGCTGTGCCCTATAGGGGAGGGGTCCCTATAGGGGCTCCGGGCTGTGCCCTATAGGGGAGGGGTCCGTGCAGGGGTTTTGGGCTCTGCGCTATAGGGGACGGGTCCGTGTCGGTGCCCGTTAGCGGCACTGACGGGACTCGGAGCGGACCGGGAAGGGGAACGCCGTGGGTGAAACCCCCGGGAGAGCCGGGCTCTGTGGGGAACGGGGGTCCCGGAGGGGCCGGGCGGGGACGGGACGAGGTGCGGGGACGGCGGGGGGGCCACCAGCGCTGGAGCTGCCCCGTCCCGCAGGTGACAGCGGAGCCCGGAGGATGCGGGGCCGGATCCCGGGTACCTGCGGAGCCCCGGGGGTGCGGGGCCGGATCCCGGGAAGCTGCGGAGCCCCGGGGATGCGGGGCCGGATCCCGGGAAGCTGCGGAGCCCCGGGGATGCCGGGCCGGATCCCGGCCCTGCTCGGCCTGGCCCTGGCCTTGGCATCGGTGGTGCCCACGGCCGGAGCGCGCCGGAGCCAGGACCTGCACTGCGGAGGTGTGGGGGGCACGGGGGGCACGGGGGACGGGATGGGATGGGACAGGGTGGGGACAGGACAGGTGGGAAAAGGGGAAAAGGGACAATGGGGACAGGACAGGACAGGTGGGAAAAGGGAGCACAGGGACAATGGGGAACAATGGGGACAGGACAGGACAGGTGGGAAAAGGGAGCACAGGGACAATGGGGAACAGTGGGGACAGGACAGGTGGGAAAGGGGGAAAAGGGAGGACAGGGACAATGGGGAACAGTGGGGACAGGACAGGTGGGAAAGGGGAAAAAGGGACAATGGGGACAGGACAGGACAGGTGGGAAAGGGGGAAAAGGGAGTACAGGGACGATGGGGACAGGATGGAACAATGGGGAACATTTGGGGACAGGTGGGAAAGTGGGAAAAGGGAGCACAGAGACAATGGGGAACAGCGGGGACAGGACAGGTGGGAAAAGGGAGCACAGGGACAATGGGGACAGGACAGGTGGGAAAAGGGGAAAAGGGAGCACAGGGACAATGGGGACAGTGGGGACAGGACAGGTGGGAAAAGGGAGCACAGGGACAATGGGGACAGGACAGGTGGGAAAGGGGGAAAAGGGACAATGGGAACAATGGGGACAGGACAGGTGGGAAAGGGGGAAAAGGGAGGACAGGGACAAGGGGGACAGTGGGGACAGGGGAGCAGGATGAATTGGGCAGACAGGGCTGAACAGGGGGACAGGGGCACAGGACACAGCAAGGCAGGACAGAGGGACAGTCCAGGGTGGTGGCACAGGGCTTGGGGATGTCCACTGGGACCAGCTGGACCCCCAATGTCCAGAGGGACAGGCTGAGGGTCTCAGGCCATGGGGACTCCTCCCCACGCACCCTCCATCCCAGTGTGCCCCAGTCACACCAGTCTGGCTCTGGGCAGCCACAGGAGCACCATGGTGCCAGGTGTCCCATGTCACCGTGTCCCCTCCCAGCCTGCCGGGCGCTGGTGGACGAGCTGGAGTGGGAGATCGCCCAGGTGGATCCCAGAAAAACCATCCAGATGGGCTCGTTCCGCATCAACCCCGACGGCAGCCAGTCGGTGGTGGAGGTGAGGCCTGTCCCGGTGTCCCGGTGTCCCGGCTCCCGGTGTCCCGGCTCCCGGTGTCCCGGCTCCCGGGGCCCGCGCTGAGCCCTGCCCGGCCGCAGGTGCCGTACGCTCGCTCCGAGGCGCACCTGACGGAGCTGCTGGAGCGCGTGTGCGAGAAGATGAAGGAGTACGGGGAGAAGACGGACCCGGCCACGCACCGCAAGAGCTACGTCCGCGTCATCTCCCACGACGGCACCAAGATGGACCTTTCCGGGGTCAAATTCGACGGGGACGTCACCTCCAGCCTGAAATTCGCGGTGTGTGAAGGGACACGGTGGGGCGTGGGTGGCACGGGGGGCTCCCGTGGGCTGGCGGTGTCACCGTGTCACCGTTGCAGTGCGAGAGCATCGCTGAGGAGTACGAGGACGAGCTGATCGAGTTCCTGTCGCACGAGGCTGAGAACGTCAAGGACCGGCTCTGCAGCAAGAGGACGGGTGAGATGGGGGGCCTGGGGGGCTCTGCTGCTGCTCCCGGGGCTGAGCTGAGCTGAGCTGGGCTGGGCTGAGCTGGGCTGAGCTGAGATGCCAGCCCAGAGCAGGGGCTGTTTCTGAGGGTCTTTGCTGCTGTCCCAGGGTTTTTTTCCTGCTCTTCTGGGGGTCTGTCCTGCTCCACTGGTGCTGGGATGTGATTTGCTGCCAGCCCGGAGCAGGGTCTGTCCCAGGGGGTCTCTCCTGCTCCATCAGTGCTGGGATGGCAGGAGATGCCAGCCCGGAGCAGGGTCTGTCAGGCATCTCTGCTGTTCCAGAGGCTGGAGCTGCTCCGTTGGTGCTGGGATGGGAGGAGATGCTGGCCCAGAGCAGGGGTTGTCCCTGGGGATCTTTGCTGCTGTCCCAGGGGGTTTCTCCTGCTCTTCAGGGGTCTCTCCTGCTCTGTCAATGTTGGGATGGAAGGAGATGCTGGCCCAGAGCAGAGTCAGTCCCTGACTGACTCTGACAGCAGAGTTTCTCCTGCTGTTCCAGGAGCTGTATCTGCTCCAGTGGTGCTGGGATGGGATTTTCTGCCAGCCCAGAGCAGGGGCTGTTCCTGGGGGTCTCTCCTGCTGTTCCTGGAGGTCTTTGCTGCTGTTCCAGGGCTCGTGGCTGCTCTGTCGGTGCTGGGATGGGATTTTCTGCCAGCCCAGAGCAGGGAGGAGCTGCAAGTTCTTCCCCAGGTCCCAGCACCCCATCGCAGAGCCTGGCCCGTGCTGGCACCGGGGTTGTTTTGGGATGCTGGGGCCGAGCCAGGGCAGCTGCTGTGCTGACTCTGTGGCCTCTCCTGGCGCATCCAATGGCCCTGTCCCACTCTGGGGCTATTTCCAGCTCACAAACACCCAGGGCAGGGCACAGTGTGACCTTTGGGGCCCTGCAGTCCTGGACGGGGCCCGGACAGGGCAGGTCCCTGTGTACCTGGCATGGCCATCAGGGCAGTGCTGTGCCCCAGGGGGATCCTGAGGGTCTCCACAGCTGCTCCCGGGGCTCCTCCTGCAGCGGGGGGGCCGGAGCAGGGACGGGCCAGGCTGTGGCTGTGTCCAAACAGCCGCATTTTGTCCCTAACCACAGGACAGAGGCGGGGAAATGCCACTGGCCTGGCTCAGGGCACAGCAGGGACCGGTCCTGGGAGGGGACAGGGCAGCGGGGGGAGTCCCACGGGGCTGGGACGTGTCCTGGGGGTCCTACGGGGCTGGGACGTGTCCTGGGGGTCCCAAGGGGCTCAGACACATCCTGGGGGGTCCCACGGGGCTGGGACGTGTCCTGGGGGTCCCACGGGGCTCCAACACATCCTGGGGGTCCCACGGGGCTGGGACGTGTCCTGGGGGTCCCATGGGGCTGCCTTGTCCTGGGGGTCTCGTGGGGGTCCCATGGAGCTCCAGCACAGCCTGGGGGTCCCATAGGGGTCTGGTGCATCCAGAGGGTCCCAAAGGGCTCCAGCACTGGGGGTCCCATAGGGGTCTGGTGCATCAGAAGGTCCCAAAGGGCTCCAGCACTGGGGGTCCCACAGGGCTGCTGTGTCATGGGGGTCCCACGGGGCTCCAACACATCCTGGGGGTCCCACGGGGCTCTGATGTGTCCTGAGGGTCCCACGGGGCTCCAGCACACCCCGATTGTCCCCCCTCCCGGTTGTCCCCGCAGACCTGTGTGACCACGCGCTCCACATCCCGCACGACGAGCTGTGACTGCTCCGGAACGGGGACCGGGACGGCCCCGGGACCCACTGGGACGGCTCCGGGACAGCACCGGGATCCCCCGGGATGGCACCGGGACCCACCAGGATCACCCGGTACCACCGGGACAGCCCCGGTACCCACCGGGATGGCCCTGGGACCCACTGGGATGGCCCCGGGACCCCCCAGGATTGCCCGGTACCACCGGGACAGTGCCGGGACCCACGGGGATGTCCCCGGGACCCACCGGGATGTCCCCGGGACAGACGGATCTGCTGGGACCCCCACGGCTCCGGAGCTGCTGCCTCGCCCCGTGCGGAGCTCCCGTCCTGTTTATTCCCCGTCCGGGACCACCGGGACGGCTCCTGCCGGGACATTTCAGGGACATTCCTGCCCGGTGCCGGGGGACACGGGGGACGCACCGGGGCTCAGCCCCCGCGGGGTGGGGGGTTTGGGGACCCCCCCTCCCTTTTGCAGGCAATAAAGGGGCCGTGGGCCCACCCGAGGGCAGCGGTGGTCTGGTGTGTGGGGTGGGGTGGGGGACAGCGGTGTCCCCACGTGTCCCCACGCGTCCCCACGCGTCCCCAGTGCCCTCGAGGGCAGCGTTCACCCCTCGTGGCTCGGCTGTGTGGCAGGGACGGCGCTCAGCCCGTGGCTCTGTGTCACTCTGTGTCACCCCAAGTCCCCCAGACTGGCCCCACATCACCCCGTGTCACCTCATGTCACCCTCCGTGGGGGTGCCGGCTCTCTTCTGTCACCGGGTGTCACCCCACCTCCCCCACGCTCAAAGGGCTCTCTGAGGGTTCTGGCCTCTCTGCCGTGACCTGTGTCACCTCATGTCGTCACCTGGCCCAGGGGACAGGAGCAGCAGGAGGGCTCTGCCCCTCTTGTGGCAGCCACCGCCGCGTGTCACTGGGTTGTGTCACTCCATGTCGCTCTGTCGTGTCATTCCGTGTCACTCCGTTGTGTCACCCCATGTCACTTGGTGGTGTCATCCTGTGTCATCCCATGTCATCCCAACGTGTCACCCCATCGTGTCACCCCATGTTTCTCCATCGTGTCACCCCGTGTCACCCCATCATTTCACCCCATGTCACTTGGTGGTGTCACCCCATGTCACCCCGTGTCTCTCCATCGTGTCACCCCATCGTGTCACCCCATGGTGTCACCCCACCGTGTCACCCCACCGTGTCACCCGTGTCACCGGGGCCAGCAGCGCACTGCCCTGGGCTCAGTGGGGATTCTGACGTCACCGCCGCCCCTCATGCCACATCCTATCACCTCAAGCCACGGTGGCCACGTACAGGATGACGTCATGGGCTCTAGTGACCTCATACCGCCCGGCTGCGCGCCTGATGACGTCACGGGGCTGCCCCCTCACCCCCGCAGCCGAACCCCACCGAGACACCGGGCCGTGACGTCAGCACCGCGGCCGGTGACGTCATGAGAAGGGGCGGGCACCCCCTCACCCCACCCCTGGCCCTGATCAGGCGAATGCGGCGGCCACCTATAGCTTGCGCCCCCCGCCACTCATTAGCATGGCCCCGCCCCGCGGCGCGCCACTTAGCCAATAGCAAACGGCTCTGCCCCGAGAAGGGGCGGGGTTATGCTAATAACCATCGCCGCGCTCCGCCCCGCCCTCACGTTGAGGACCCCCGGCCGCCGCCGCTCCGGCCCCGCTCCCGCCCCGGCCCCGCTCCCGGTCCCGGTCCCGGCCCCGCTCCCGGTCCCGGCCCCGTTCAGCCCCGGCCTGTCCCGTCCCGGTACCGCCATGACGCTCCTCGCCGCCGGCAGCCGGGCGGCCGCGCGCCTCCGCGGGCCCAAGGTGAGCGCGCCCGGCCCGGCCTCGCCGCGCCTTAAAGGGGCGACGCCGCGGGGGGAAGGGAGAGCGGGGGGGGTCCGGTTCTTAAAGGGGCGACGCGGGGGGCGCTGCCTTAAAGGGGCCGCGCGGCGGCGGAGGGGGGTATGGGACCGGGGTGACCGGGACCGGGACCGGCATCGCGACCGGCATCGGGACCGGGGTGGGTCCCGCAGCGGCAGCACGTGGCGGGAGCCGGCGCCCGGCGCTCCCGCCGCAGCCTTCCCGGACCCGGGGGCACCGGGAGTGGCTCGGGGGGGCTCCGTGCCCGGGGGGCTCCGCTGCTGCCTCAGCCCCGTGGGGGGGTCCCCGCCCCGGGGCAGCCCCGCTGGCGGTTCCGGTTCCTCGTTGTCCGGGACGCCCCCGGGAGCCCCGCACCGGCCCCGGGACCCCGCGCCCGGTGGTACCGGCAGTAGGGGGGTGGAGGCGGGGACCGTCCCCTCCGCCGCCGCCCTTCCCCAGCGTCCCGGTGCCGTAGAGGACACCGGGGTCACAGCGAGAGGACCCCCGTGCTACCGAGCGCCGGTACCGGGCCGGAGCGGCCCCGACCCCTCCGTTCTGTTTGGCTTGGCCGCGGCCCCGGCGTTTCGTAACGGGCGTTGCGGTGTCTTTATCGACCGGGCGATATTTTGGGATATCGCCATGCCCCACTTGGCCCTGCTCCCCCGTCAAAACGGGCGGACCGGAGCCGCCCCCCGGTTTGAGCCGTGATCCCGACCTTCCTCCTCCTCCTCCTCCTCCCCCCCTCGGCCTGGCCCCGCACCCCCGAGCGCAACCGGAGCCCCCCGGAGGGTCCCGGTGTGGCCCCGCACCCCCCCGGCCGGTGCCCGGTGTCACCGCCAACACGTGTGACCTTGAGCCGGTGGCACCTCGGTGACAGCGGGACGAGCCGTGGGGACCCCCCAGAACGGGGCGACACGGGGGTGACACCGGCGGTGACACGGTGGAGGCGGCGGGGCGACAGCGGCCGCCTTGACCTTGGGCTGCTCGCTGCCGCCTCCATTGTTCCGTTTCCCGTTCCCGGGGCCGCCTGTTGCGGGGGAACGCGGCCTCGCCACCCGCCACGGCCACACCCGCCACACCGGGACCCCTGACCGGGCCGGGGGCTCGCCGGGGACACCGGGGGGTTCTCCGCAGCGCGGCCCCCCCGCTCCTCCCGGCAGCGGCGGAAAAACCGGAGTCATGTTCTGGCTCTGCCGCAGGCGCTGCCGCAGCTCCGGTGTCCCTGTGGATGGCAGCCCCGGTGTGTGCCCCGGTTTCCCCCGGTGTGTGCCCCGGTGTGTCCCCCGGTGTCCCCCGTGCCAGGCCCGGGCTGTGTTCCCGGGGTGTCCCCGCCGGGACGGAGTCCCCGCGGTTCCCGGTTCCCACGCGTGGGCGAGGAACAAAGTTCGGATTCCCCGGCTCAGGAAAACCGCCGGGCGCGGCTCCAGGAAGGAGAACGCGGCCGCATTTCCCCGTGCCAGGTCCGGGTCCGGCTGCGAGGGCAGCGCGGGGCTGCCCCGGTTGATCCCGGCCCCGGTTGATCCCGGCCCCGCCGATCCCAGCCCCGCTGATCCCGGCCCCGGTTGATCCCGGCCCCGCCGATCCCGGCCCCGCCGATCCCAGCCCCGCCGCTCCCGGCCCCGGTTGATCCCGGCCCCGCTGATCCCGGCCCCGGTTGATCCCGGCCCCGCCGATCCCGGCCTCGCTGATCCCGGCCCCACTGATCCCGGCCCGGTCCCGGCCCCGCTGATCCCGGCCCCGGTTGATCCCGGCCCGGTCCCGGCCCCGCCGATCCCGGCCCCGCCGCTCCCTGCCCCGCCGATCCCGGCCCCGGTTGATCCCGGCCCCGATCCGCGCCCGCGTGGGCGAGTGAAGCGGCTCCGGCGTCCTTGGGATCCGGGGGCTCAGCTCGTGTGGCTGCACCCCCCAAAAGAGGCTCTGCCCCGGTGACAGGCGGGTCTCTGTGTCCCTTGTCCCACAGAATGCACCGTGTGTCCTCTTTGCTGCTCGCCACGCCAGCGCCGCCACGGTAAGGGGGTCCTGTCCTGTCACCCTCTCCTGTCACCCCCTCTCCTGTCACCCCCTCTCCTGTCACCCTCTCCTGTCACCCTCTCCTGTCACCCCCTCTCCAAGGGGAGGCCCTTCACTTTTCATCCTCTTTCCTGTCTCTGTTTCTCTTGTCACCTCCTCTGCCATGAGCTCCTCTCCTGTCACCCCATCCTGTCACTCTGCTCTAATGGGAGTTCCCTTTCCTGTCACCCCCTTTCCTGTCACCTCTTTCCTGTCACCCCCTCTCCTCTCGCCCCTCTTCAAGGGGAGGGACCCTCTCTCATCACCCTCTCTCCTGTCACCCCCTTTCCTGTCCCCTCTCACCAAGGGGAGCCCCTGTTCTATCGCCCCTTCTCCCGTCCCCCTTTCCTGTCCCCATCTCTTTTGTCACCCTCTTTCCCATCACCCCTCTCCAAGGGGAGTCCCCACTCCTCTCCTGCCCCACATCTCCTGTCACCCCACTCCAGGGGGAGTCCCCACTCCTCTCCTGCCCCACATCTCCTGTCCCCCCTCTCCAAAGGGAGTCCCCACTCCTCTCCTGCCCCACATCTCCTGTCACCCCACTCCAGGGGGAATCCCCTCTCCATTGTCACACCTTTTCCCTGCCCCTCTTCTCCTGTCCCGTGCTCAGCCCCGTCTCACCCCCCTGTCCCTTGTCCCCAGAACCTCAAAGACGTCTTGGCCACCATGATCCCCAAGGAGCAGGCGAAGATCAAGAGCTTCCGGCAGCAGCACGGCAGCACGGCCATCGGGCAGATCACGGTGGACATGGTGAGTGTGCGGCCACACCGGGGCCACCAGGGCCACCGGGGCCACCGGGCCCTGCCACCGCCCCTCACCGCGACCTCCCGGCCCCTTCCAGGTGTACGGCGGCATGAGGGGCATGAAAGGGCTGATCTACGAGACCTCTGTGCTGGATCCTGACGAGGTAGGGCCCTGTCCCACCCCGTCCCACCCCGTCCCACCTGTCCCACCCCGTCCCACCCCGTCCCACTCTATCCCACCCTGTCCCACCCCGTCCCACCCCGTCCCACCCCGTCCCACCCGCCCCGCTGACGCTCCCGGCCCCGCAGGGCATCCGCTTCCGTGGCTACAGCATCCCCGAGTGCCAGAAGAAGCTGCCCAAAGCTGCGGGGGGAGAGGAGCCGCTGCCCGAGGGGCTCTTCTGGCTGCTGGTGACTGGAGAAATCCCAACCCAGGAGCAGGTACCCCCAGGAGGGGCTGGCAAACGGCTCAGGGGGGTCTGGCAGCCCCCAGACCCAGGAGGGGCTGGGAAAAGCTGGAGGGGTCTGGCAGGAGGGGGCTGGCAAATAGCTGAGGGGGTTTAACAGCCCCCAGACCCAGGATGGGCTGGAAAAAGCTGAGGGGGTCTGGCAGGAGGGGGCTGGCAAATAGCTGAGGGGGTTTGGCAGCCCCCAGACCCAGGAAGGGGCTGGAAAAAGCTGAAGGGGTCTGGCAGCCCCCAGACCCAGGAAGGGGCTGGAAAAAGCTGAAGGGGTTTGGCAGCCCCCAGACCCAGGAAGGGGCTGGAAAAAGCCTTGGGCAGGGTTTAACAGCCCCTGGACCCAGGAGGGGCTGTAAAAAGCCTTGGGCAGGGTTTAGCAGCCCCTGGATCCAGGAGGGGGCTGGAAAAAGCCTTGGGCAGGGTTTAACAGCCCCTGGATCCAGGAGGGGGCTGGCAAATGGCTGAGGGGGCTCTGGCAGCCCCAGGCCCCGCAGCTCAGCCCCAGCGTGTCCCCGTGTCCCCGTAGGTGACCTGGCTGTCCCGGGAGTGGGCCAAGCGCGCGGCTCTGCCCTCCCACGTGGTGACCATGCTGGACAACTTCCCCACCAACCTGCACCCCATGTCCCAGCTGAGCGCCGCCGTCACCGCCCTCAACAGCGAGAGCAAGTTCGCCCGCGCCTACGCCGAGGGCATCCACCGCGCCAAGTACTGGGAGGTACGGGGGGAGCTGCAGCCCCGGCGCTGGTTTGGGGGTGGATTTTGGGTGTGGGGGGTCACCCCGCACGGTCTCACCCCGCTGGTGTCAGTTTGTGTACGAGGACGCCATGGACCTGATCGCCAAGCTGCCGTGCGTGGCCGCCAAGATCTACCGCAACCTGTACCGCGAGGGCAGCGGCATCGGGGCCATCGACCCCAACCTCGACTGGTCCCACAACTTCACCAACATGCTGGGCTACACCGACCCCCAGTTCATCGAGCTGATGCGGCTCTACCTCACCATCCACAGGTGTGGAGCTGGGAGCTGCCTCTGGAGCAGTGGGGACGGGGGTAGGCGGGGGTTTGGCTCCGCTCCCAGCCCCGGGCGTGCCCGGGCTGCTCCTGGGCCGTCACCGGGAGCAGGCAGGGCTGAACCGGGCTGGCAACACCATGCTGCCCACCCCCAAAACGCTGTGAAAGGTGTTTGGTGGGGCTGGGGGAGTCCTGATGGCCCTCTGGCCCCGGCAGTGACCACGAGGGAGGGAATGTGAGTGCCCACACGAGCCACCTCGTGGGCAGCGCCTTGTCCGACCCCTACCTCGCCTTCGCCGCCGCCATGAACGGGCTGGCCGGGCCCCTGCACGGCCTCGCCAACCAGGTGGGCACTGCTCCCTGCCCGGTGCGCCCCTCTCCCTGTCTGTCCCTCTGTCCCTCTGTCCGTGTCCTTCTCTCTGTCTATGTCCCTCTTCCTGTGTGCCCCCACCTCCTGTCTCTCTCTCCGTCCCCGTGTCCCTCTGTCCCTCTCCCCATGTTACTCTGTCCCTCTCCCCATCCATGGTTCTCTCTCCCCATCCCCATGTCCCTCTGTCCCTCTCCCCGTGTCCCTCTCCCCGTGTCCCTTTTCCCGTGTCCCTCTCCCAATCCCCATGTTCCTCTGTCCCTCTCCCTCTCTCTGTGTCCCTCTCCCTCTCCCCATGTCCCTCTCCCCATGTCCCTCTCCCCATGTCCCTCTGTCCCTGTCCCCATGTCCCCGTGTCCCTCCCCCCGTGTCCCTCCCCCCGTGTCCCTCTCCCTCTGTCCCTGTCCCTCTGTCCCCATCCCTCTCCCCGTGTCCCTCCATCCCTCTCCCCATGTCCCCATCCCCGTGTCCCTCTCCCCATGTCCCTCTGTCCCCATCCCCGTGTCCCCATCCCTGTGTCCCTCTCCCTGTCCCTCTCCCCGTGTCCCTCTCCCCGTCCGTGCCTCACGCCGCGGTCCCGCAGGAGGTGCTGCTCTGGCTCACGGACCTGCAGAAGGAGCTGGGCAAGGACGTGTCGGACGAGAAGCTGCGGGATTTCATCTGGAACACGCTCAACTCGGGCAGGGTGGGGCTGAGGGGCCGTGCTGGGGGTCAGGGGCTGAGCTGGGGGGGTCCAGGGGCTGTGCTGGGGGTCAGGGGCTGAGCTGGGGGCTGTGCTGGGGGTCAGGGGCTGAGCTGGGGGGTCAGGGGCTGTGCTGAGGGTTCCAGGGGCTGAGCTGGGGGGTCCAGGGGCTGTGCTGGGGGTCGGAGGCCATGTTTGGGGTCGGGGGCTGTGCTGGGGGGTCCAGGGGCTGTACTGGGGGGTCCAGGGGCCGTGTTTGGGGTCAGGGGCTGTGCTGTGGGTCAGGGGCTGTGCTGGGGGTCGGGGGTGGTTCTGTGGGTCCGGGGCTGTGGGTCCGCGGCAGCCCTGTGGGTCCGGGGCTGTGCTGGGGGTTGTGCTGTGGGTCCGGGGCCGCGCTGTGGGTCCGCGGCAGCCCTGTGGGTCTCGGCAGCCCTGTGGGTCCCGGCAGCCCTGTGGGTCCGGGGCCGCGCTGTGGGTTCTGCTGTGGGTCCGGGGCAGCCCTGTGGGTCCGTGGCAGCGCTGTGGGTCCGCAGCAGCCCTGTGGGTCCGGGGCCGCGCTGTGGGTCAGGGGCTGTGCTGGGGGTTGTGCTGTGGGTCCGGGGCAGCCCTGTGGGTCCGGGGCCACGCTGTGGGTCCGTGGCAGCCCTGTGGGTCCGGGGCAGCCCTGTGGGTCCGGGGCCGCGCTGTGGGTCAGGGGCTGTGCTGGGGGTTGTGCTGTGGGTCCGGGGCAGCCCTGTGGGTCCGGGGCCGCGCTGTGGGTCCGTGGCAGCCCTGTGGGTCCGGGGCAGCCCTGTGGGTCCGGGGCCACGCTGTGGGTCAGGGGCTGTGCTGGGGGCTGTGCTGTGGGTCCGGGGCCGCTCTGTGGGTCCGTGGCAGCCCTGTGGGTCCGGGGCCGCTCTGTGGGTCAGGGGCTGTGCTGGGGGTTGTGCTGTGGGTCTGGGGCTGTGCTGTGGGTCCGGGTCAGCCCTGTGGGTCCTGGCAGCCCTGTGGGTCCCGGCAGCCCTGGCCCGTCCCGCAGGTGGTGCCGGGCTACGGGCACGCGGTGCTGCGCAAGACGGACCCGCGCTACACGTGCCAGCGCGAGTTCGCGCTCAAGCACCTGCCCCAGGACCCGCTCTTCAAGCTGGTGGCGCAGCTCTACAAGATCGTGCCCAACGTGCTGCTGGAGCAGGGCAAGGCCAAGAACCCCTGGCCCAACGTGGATGCCCACAGCGGGGTCCTGCTGCAGGTGAGCCCCGGCTGCTCCGAGCCTCTGTCCCTCTGTCCTGTCCGTCCGTTTCCCCGGTTGTCCTGGTCCCTGTCTCTGTGTCCCTTTCCGTGTTCACATCCCTCTCCCTGTTCCGTCCTTCCTCCTGTCCGTGTGTCCCTCTCCCTGTCTGTCCCTTGCCCTGTGTGTCCCTCTCCTGTTCTGCTCCTGTTTCTGTCCCTCTCCCTGTACTGTGTCCCTCTCCCTGTTCTCCCTGTGTGTCCCTCTCCCTGTGTGTCCCTCTCCCTATCTGTGTGTCCCTCTCCCTGTCTGTGTGTCCCTCTCTCTGTGTCCCTCTCCCTGTGTTCCTGTGTGTCCCTCTCCCTGTACTGTGTCCCTCTCCCTGTACTGTCCCTCTCTCTGTGTCCCTCTCCCTGTTCTCCTGCCTGTCTCTGTCCCTGTCCCTCTCCCTGTGTGTCCCTCTCCCTGTGTCCCTTCGTGCCCCTCTCCCTCTTCTCCTCCCTGTGTGTCCCTCCATCCCTTCCCCCATCCCTCCCTCCCTCTCCCAGCCTGTTCCTCTCCCCATCCCTCCCTCTCCCAGCCTGTTCCTCTCCCCATCCATCCCTCTCCCCTCTCCCTCTGGCCGTGCCCGGGGGTCTCACGGCCGCCCCGTGCCCCATGCCTGCTCCCCGTGCCCACTCTGTGCCCGTGCCCGCAGTACTACGGCATGAAGGAGATGAATTACTACACGGTGCTGTTCGGGGTGTCGCGGGCGCTGGGCGTCCTGTCGCAGCTCATCTGGAGCCGGGCGCTGGGATTCCCGCTGGAGCGGCCCAAATCCATGAGCACCAAGGGCCTGATGCAGCTCGTGGGCTACAAATCCGCCTGAAGAAGGGACGGGGACGGGGGACACGGCTGCCCCCGGCGCTGACCCCCCCTCGGGGCCGCTCCCCCACCCCCCCGCCGTGGGGAGGGGCAGGGGCAGCCCTGGGGTCCTCCCCCCCCCAGCCCCACGCCCAGATCCCCCTGCCCTGCTGGGTGTGGGGGGCTCCCGTGCCCCCCGCCCACCCCAGCAGCTCTCACTGCGCACACTGGGAGCCCCCCAGGCTCCGCTGGGAGCCCCCCCAGGCTCCCCACATTGGGAGCCCCCCCCGGCTCCCCACTGCTGGGCTGGGGGGGCTCCTGGGGGGCACAGCCCCCCGAGATGGGCTCAGTCCAGCCCCGTGTCCGGACCCCGCAGGGACTCGATACACTCCTCCCCCCCCCGGCCGCGCCCCCGTGTTTGTGTGACCCCCCCCGGCCCTTCCCTTCCCTCCCCCCCCGCCTGAAGCCCCCGGGAGCCGGAGCTGGGACCCCCCCCCGGCCCCACCCGGCCCCTCGCAGCTCTCGGGCACTTCTGTACAAACAACGACAAAAATGCAAAATAAATGTTTTTATTAACAAAGCCCCGGCCTCCCCCCTCCCTGGTGCCCCCTCCCCAGCCGGGGGTCTCAGCGTGCGGCCCCCCACCCCCAGAGCTGAATGAGGAGCAGGAGGCTGCTGACCCTTGGGAAATTCTCTTTATTGGCCTGGCAAAGCCCTTCCCTCCTCGGGCAGCACTCGGGACAGGCTCGGGGGGCTCGGGGAGCCCCTCACCCCCCCCGGGGGGGCTTCGTGGTGGTGGTGGGGGGAAACCGAGGCCTTCCCATCCCTCCCCCCCCCAAAGGTGAGGAACTGTGAGTTGGGGGGCGGTGGGGGTGCCCTGCGGAGGGTGCTGGGGTGGGGGGCAGCGGGGGGGGGCAGCAGGAGCCGCCCCCTCCCCACCCTGTGCGTGTGGCTTGTGCAAAGTGTGCGGCGGCTCAGGGGGCTCCTTCCCTTCTGTTCCTGGAGGAGCTGGGGGGGAAATGGGGCAGGGGGGTCCCAGCAGCTTTTTTTTCATCCCCCCCCCTCTCCCCCTCCCACCAAACCCCCCATCCCGCTCCTCCCCGGGACACGGCGGGGCCCAGCACCGGAGCTGCCCCCACCGGGGCCCTCCGGCCTGGCTGAGGAGCTCAAAAAGAACCAAAAAAAAAAAAGAAAGAAAACAAGAAACCCAACCAAACAAGAACTAAAACATTAAAACCCCAAATCAGCTGCAAAACCGGGGTGAGTCCAGCGCCGGGACGCAGCTCACGGCAGCCCCGAGGGGGGCGTTGAGGCAACGGCAGCAGAAACGCAATTCTCGAATAAATATTTCGGGGGGTGGGCTCGGCACGGGCCCGGCACGGTTTGGGGTGCCCGGTACGGTCCGGGGGTGCCCGGCCCCGCCGCCCTCACGTCTGGTGCACCTCGTGGAACATCAGCTCCCGCGGGATGCGCGTCTCGGGCCCGAAGTTCTTGGCGGCGCGGCGCTCGAAGGCGGCCACCATCTGCTTGACCACCTCGTCGAAGAAGACGGTGGCCAGCTGGGAGTGCAGCAGGGAGCGGAACTCGAAGGAGATCTGGGCAGGAGGAGGAGGAGGAGGAGGTGAGTCCCGGTGGGTGAGTCCCGGTGGGTCAGTCCCGGTGGGTCAGCCCGGTGGGTGAGCCCTGGTGGGTGACCCCGGTGGGTGAGCCCCGGTGGGTGAGCCCCGGTGGGTGAGCCCCGGTGGGTCAGCCCCGGTGGTGGGTCAGCCCTGCCCTCCCCGGGGCGCCCGGGCCGGGTCCTACCGAGAAATCCACGGTGCTGGTGCGGGGGTAGCCGGGGATGCCGGGGCTGAAGCGCCAGTTGGTCTCCAGGTGGTTGAAGAGGCGCCCGTCGGTGCAGACGGCCTGGGCAGGGCACAAGGGGCTGTCAGGGGCCGGGACCACCGGGATCACGGAACCCTCCGGGCTGGAACCCCTCCTGGATCCCCGGGAGTGCTACATCCCGGACAGCTCCGGGGATGGGCACTGAAAACTTCCCTGGCAGCGTTTTCCACGGGGAAATTCCAACCTGAACCTCCCCCGGAACAACTTGAGGCTGGTTTCCCTTCTGTTCTTCCCTGGGAGCAGATGTCACACCCCCTCCTTGCTCTGCTCTGCCACCAGGGATTTGCGGGGTGAAAATTCCCCTCTGAGCCTTCTTTTCTCCAGGCAGTTTCAAAGCCTGAGCAGCATTTCCAGGAGGAAATTCCTCCTGATGTCCACCCTGAACCTCTCCTGGAGGAATTTGGGGCTGTTCCTTTTCCTCCTGCTGTTCCTCAGAGCAGATCCCAACCCCACTGTCCCATCAGAGATTTGTGGGGTGGAAATTTCCTTCTGGGGAATTTTCTCCAGGCAGTTCCAAAGCCTGAGCAGCTTTTCCAGAAAATTCCTCCTGATGTCCACCCTGAACCTCTCCTGCAGGAATTTGGGGCTGTTCCCTCTCCTGTTGGTATTCCTCAGAGCAGATCCTGACCCCGCTCTCCCATCAGGGAGCTGTGGGGTGGAAATTCCCCTCTGAATCTCCTTCCCTCCGGGCAGTTCCAAAGCCCGAGCAGCTTTTCCAGGAGAAAATTCCTCCTGATGTCCACCCTGAACTTCTCCTGGCACAGCTTTGGGGCCGTTTCCTCCTGTCCTGTTATTCCGTGGCAGAAGAGGCCAATCCCCACCTGGCTACAGCTACAAATATTCCCCAAAACCAGCAAATTCCCCCCAGAATCAGGGCAGGGCTCTGTTCCTTTTCCTCCTGCTGTTCCTGGGAGCAGATCCTGACTCCGCTCTCCCATCAGGGAGTTGTGGGGTGGAAATTCCCCTCTGAGCCTCCTTTCCACCAAGGCAGTTCCAAAGCCTGAGCAGCTTTCCAGGAGGAAATTCCTCCTGATGTCCACCCTGAACCTCTCCTGGAGGAATTTGGGGCTGTTTCTTTTCCTCCTGGTATCCTGGGAGCAGATCCCAACCCCGCTCTCCCATCAGGGAGTTGTGGGGTGGAAATTCCCCCCTGAGCCTCCTTCCCTCCAGGCTGAGCCCCTTTCCCAGCTCCCTCAGGGCCTCTCCAGCCCTGCCCAGCGCTGTGTCCCTGACCTTGACGAGGTGTGGCCGCACCAGGGTGACGATGGAGGTGTAGCGCTCCAGCACGGGCGGGAATCCCACCTCCAGCTGCGCCTTCAGGTGCCCCGAGCGCCGCGCCAGCACCACCGACCTCTTGCACCAGGGCACGAAGTTCTTGTAGTCCTCCACGTTGGCCACCACGTCGTACATCTCCTGCATGGAGTACCTGCACCGAGACGGGGCTGGGATGGGACTGGGGCTGGGATTGGGGCTGGGATTGGGGTCAGGGTTGGGATTGGGGCTGAAATTGGGGCTGAAATTGGGGTTGGGTTGGGGTTGGGCTGGGATTGGGGCTGGGATTGGGGTTGGGCTGGGATTGGGGCTGGGGTTGGGATTGGGGCTGGGATTGGGGCTGGGGTTGGGGTCAGGGTTGGGATTGGGGCTGAGACTGGGGTTGGGGCTGGGATTGGGGTCAGAGCTGGGGTTGGGTTTGGGGTTTGGGGCTGGGTTTGGGGTTGGGGCCAGGCTTTGGGGCCGGGTTTGGGTTTGGGGCCGGGTTTGGGGCTGGGTTTGGGTTTGGGGCCGGGTTTGGGTTTGGGTTTGGGTTTGGGGCCGGGTTTGGGGTCAGGGCCAGGCTTTGGGGCTGGGTTTGGGTTTGGGTTTGGGTTTGGGCTTGGGGCTGGGTTTGGGGCCAGGGTCAGGATCGGGGCTGGGCTCTGGGGCCGGGTTTGGGTTTGGGGCTGGGTTTGGGGCTGGGTTTGGGTTTGGGTTTGGGGCTGGGCTTTGGGGCTGGGTTTGGGTTTGGGGCCGGGTTTGGGGCCGGGTTTGGGGCTGGCTTTGGGGCTGGGTTTGGGGCCAGGTTTGGGTTTGGGTTTGGGGCTGGCTTTGGGGCTGGGTTTGGCTTTGGGGCCGGGTTTGGGGCCAGCTTTGGGCTCACACACCCGATGATGCGCCGCTCCGAGTACTCCTTGCGCCGGTTGCCGAGGCTCAGGAAGCTCCGGCTCGGCTGCGCTCGGGGCTCCCAACCCGCGGGGCCCGGCCGGGCCAGCCGGAGCCCGCACGGGGCCACGTGCCTGCGGGACACCGGGGTCACCGGGAGCACCGGGGGCACCCACCGGCACCGGGGGCACCGGGGCACCCACTGTCACCGGTGTCACCGGGAGCACCGGGAGCACCCACTGTCACCGGGGTCACCGGGAGCACCCAGCCCTGGGACCCTTCCTGGTGGACAAGGGCCCTTCCTGAGCTTCCCAAATCCCTCTCTGTCCCTTCTTGGCTACTCCAGGTCCTTCCAGACCATCCCAAGCCCCTTCCAGACCATTCCAGGTTCCTTCCAGAGCTTCCCAAATCCCTCCAGGGCCTCACAGGCCCCTCAGAGCTTCCGAAATCCTTCCAGAGCTTCCCAAATCCATTCCAGGGCCTCACAGGCCCCTCAGAGCTTCCCAAATCCTTCCAGAGCTTCCCAAGTCCATTCCAGAGCCTCACAGGTCCCTCACAGCTTCCCAGGCCCCTCAGAGTTTCCCAAATCCCTCCAGAGCTTCCCAGGTCCTTTCCAGAACCTCACAGGCCCCTCAAAGCTTCCCACATCCCTTCCAGGGCTTCCCAAATCCCTCCAGACCATCCCAAGCCCATTCCCACCTGCCCTGGGTGCCCTCCAGCCCTTCCCTGCTCCTTTCTGGACCGGCCCAGCTCCCTCCCAGAACTTCCAGGGCCCTTCCTGAACTTCCCAAGCCCCTTCCAAACCATCCCAGGTCTCTTCCTGACCATCCCAGGTCCCTTTCCAACCACTTCCAGTCCCTCCTTGGCCACTCCAGATCATTCCAACCCATCCCAGGTCCCTTCCTGACCTTCCCAAACCCCTTCCAACCCACCCCAAGCCCTTCCAAACCATCCCTGTCCCTTTTTGGCCACTCCCTGTCCCTTCAGCCCATCCCAAGCCCCTTCCAGCCCATCTCGGGTCCTTTTCCAACCACTCCCGGTTCCTTTTTGGCCACTCCAGGTCCCTTCCAGACCTTCCAGGTCCCTTCCTGACCATCCCTGTCCCTCTCTGGTCACTCTCTGTCCCTTTTTGGTCCCTCTCTGTCCCTCCCAGCCCATCCCGGGTCCCTTTCCCACCGCTCCCGGACCCTTCCCGGCCTCTCCCGGTCCCGTCCCGTCCCTCCGGTGTCGCTCCCGGGGGCAGATCGCGACTTTCCCACGGAAATTGTCCCCCCGGTGCCACCGGAGCCACCGGGGCGGCCGGTCCCGCTCGTGTCCCCGTGTCGCAGAGGTCAGTGCCGCGGGTGGCTGTCCCGTCCCCGGTGACACCGGGGTGACCCCGCCGGGGCTCGGTTCCCCCGCGGGCGGCGGCGGCACCGGCGCGCTCCCGGTGTCCCCGCGCGGGGTTCGCTCCAAGGTCAGACCCCCCCAGCCAGCGTTCCCCGCCCAGCGGCCAACCGGGCCAGCGGCACCGCCGGGTCCCCGCAGCCCCGGGATCACCGGGAGCCCCGGGATCACCGGGACGGCCCCGCCGGGACCCCCCGGTTCCCACAAGGGCCCCGGGCCCACCGCACCTCACGGGGGCTGGCAGCGCGGCCAGGCCCGGAGGAGCCCCCGCAGCACGAGCGCCTCCCGGTGCCCGCCCCGGTGTCCCCGGTGTGACCTCCGGGCCGCCGCCGCTCACCTGCCGGGCGGGGCCGCCGCCGTCCGCAGGCGCTGCCGCGCCCCGAGCTGGAGGGCGCCGCGGAGCCGCCGGGCCGCCATCAGCGGGCCGGGACCGGGACCGGGACCGGGCCGGGACCGGCGCCGCCCTGACCTCTCACCCCGTGACGTCACCGCGTCGCCATAGCGCCGTGCACGTCAAGGGGCGGGGCGGGGCACCGCCTCCCGAGCGGGGCACCATGGGAGTTGTAGGCGGAGGGTGCGCGGGGCACGATGGGAAATGTAGTGCGGGCGGGGGATGCGGCTGCTCCGGGACCGGGAGCGACCGGGAGCGACCGGGAGTGCCCCGCCCGGGGCTGCCGGGGCTGGGCTCTGCCCCACGGGCCGCGCCTCCCACGTGTGTCCCCGGTCCGTGGGTCCGGAGAGGGACGGGGAGCCTCCGGTGCCGTGTCCCGGTGAGGGCCCCGCTGCGAACCGGGCAGAGGAGCCGAGAGACCGGGGATTCACCGTGGCTGCGGGAACGGTGTGGCCCAGTGCCGCCCAGTACAGCACAACACACAACAGGGCCTCCCAGTGTGTCCCAGTGCAGCTCAGCACATCCCAGTTCAGTCTAGCACATCCCAGTTCAGTCCAGTGTCTCCCAGTTCAACCCAGCACATCCCAGTTCAGCCCAGCACATCCCAGTTCAGTCCAGTCCAGCTCAGCATTACCTAGTGCCAACCAGTCCCAACCAGCACAGCCCAGTCCAGTTCAGCCCAGTTCCTCCCTGTACATCCCGGTTCCTCCCAGCACATCCCAGCACATCCCAGTTCCTCCTCCCAGCACATCCCAGTTCAGCCCGGCACATCCCAGTTCAGCCCAATTCAGCGCAGGGAATGCAGCACCAGTTCCCAGCCCCGTTCCCGGTGCCAGCCCGGCCCCGCTCGGAGCTGCCGCCGGGCCCGTGACCCCCCCGAGCCCCGGGACCCCCGCCCGGTGACCCCGGGATGGGTTTGGAGTCACTCGGGGACCCCCGGGAGCACCGGGAGCTGCCTGGGGATGGGATTCCCAGCAGCCAGACCCCACAGAGGGGGATGGAGGTGGCACATGAGACCCCCCGGGACCCTCTCCCACCATTCCAGCACCTTTTGGGATGGAAGAGCAGCAGGTGGGACCCCTGGGATGGGATTGCCATGGCACAGATCCCACAGAACGGCACACCGGCACCCCTGGGACCCTCTCCCGCTGCCCCAGCGCTGCTCAGGGACCCCCGGGACCACCGGGGGATGGAGTTCCCACCGGACAGACCCCACAGAGGGATGGGAGTGGCACACGGGGACCCCCGGGACCTTCTCCCACCACCCCACCACTCTTCAGGCTGGGGCACCGGGGACCTCCGGGGTTACCGACAGCCGCTCCTGGGTGCGATTCCCACCGGGACACCCCAGCCCGGGTCAGAGCAGCGACCCCCGGGGTTACCGACAGCCGCTCCGGGATGCGATTCCCACCGGGCCAGCCCGGCCCGGGTCAGAGCAGCGACCCCCGGGGTTACCGACAGCCGCTCCGGGATGCGATTCCCACCGGGACACCCCGGACCGGGTCAGAGCAGCGACCCCCGGGACCCCCGGGGTTACCGACAGCCGCTCCTGGGTGCGATTCCCACCGGGAACAGCCCGAACCGGGTCAGAGCAGCGACCCCCGGGACCCCCGGGGTTACCGACAGCCGCTCCGGGATGTGATTCCCACCGGGACACCCCGGCCCGGGTCAGAGCAGCGACCCCCGGGTCCCTCTCCCACCGCCCCGCCGCCCCTCGGGCCGGGCCCGCCGCTGCCCGGAGACCCCCGGCCCGTTCCCCCGCGGCCCCCCGGCGATGCCGCCGCCCCGGGGCCGCCCCCGCCGCCGCCGCCGCCGCCGCTCCGGGCTCGGTGGGCGGCGCATCCCCGCCGCTCCATCCCCGCCCCGCAGCCGCCCGAGCGGAGCCGCCGCGGCCGGACCCGATGCCGGCAGCTGGGCGCTGAGGGCGGCCCCGACATGGGGGTTCTCAGCATCACGGACCAGGTACGGCCGCAGCCCCGTCCTGCCCTCCCCGCTCCCGCCCGCCGCCGCCGCCGCGCCGCGCCCGGGCAGCGCCGCCACGGCAGCCCGGGGATGTGCGGCCTAGCGCGGCTCCGCCACCGGGCCCGGCCCGGCGCCGCCCCAGGCCGCGGGCCCCGCTCCGCCGGGCCCTGCCCGCCGCTCCACCCCGCCGGGCCCAGAGACGGGAACGGGAGAGCCCCGGGGATGGGAGCGGGAACGGGAGAGCCCCGGGGAGGGAACCGGAGGAGAGCCCCGGGCCGTGAACGGGAGAGCCACGGGGAATGGGAGACCGGGGAGGGAACGGGAGGAGAGCCCCGGGGATGGGAGCCCCGGGAGGGAACGGGAGAGCCCTGGGAGGGAACGGGAGAGCCCCGGGAATGGGAGCCCAGGGAGGGAACGGGAGGAGAGCACCGGGAATGGGAGCCCCGGGCCGTGAACGGGAGAGCCACGGGGAGGGAACGGGAGAGCCCCCGGGAATGAGAGCCCGGGGAGGGAACGGGAGAACCGCGGGGTTTTGTGGCCCGGGAAGGTGAAACATCAAACGGGGATCCTGCCCCGGGAGAGGCCCGGTGATGGGACCCTGGAACCGGGAGCGGCGGAGCCCCCGAGATGGGATCCCTGGCTGGGAACGGGAGAGCCCCGGGGATGGGACCCCCGGTCCGGGGATGTGAAGCATCACTGGGGGATCCTGCCCCGGGAGAGCCCCGGGGATGGGACCCCTGGATCGGGAACGGCGGAGCCCCCGGGATGGGCCATCCCGGTTCGGGAATGGGAGAACCCCGGGGTTGGGACAGCTGGGTCAGGAATGGCAGAACCCTGGAGATGGGCCTGTGGAGCAGGAACGGCAGAGCCCCCGGGAACGGGAGAACCCTGGGAATGGCAGAACTCCAGCCCTGGAATGGGAGAATCCTGGAATGGGACCCATGGATCAGGAACAGGAGATCCATGGGGTTGGAATACCTGGATCGAGGAGAACCCCAGGAACAGCAGAACCCTGGGAATAGGAACCCTGGATCAGGAACAGGAGAACCCCGGGAATGGGATGGGAGAATCACGGGAATGGGACACTGGGATGAGGAACAGGCGGTTCCAGGAATGGGAGAATCCTGGGAATGGCAGAACCCCGGGAATGGGAGAACCCCGGGAATAGGAGAACACTGGGAATGACAGAATCCCAGGAATGGGATCCCCTGGCCCTGGAACAGGAGAAGCCAGGGAATGGGACACCGTGATTGTGAGCAGGAGATCCCTGGGGTGACACACCTGGGTCAGGAGTGGGAGAATCCCGGGAATGGGAGAACCCCGGGAATGGAAGAATCCTGGGAGTGGGACAAGAGAATCCCAGGAACGGGACACTGGGATTAGGAACAGGAGATTCCAGGAATGGGAAAACCCTGGGAATGGGACAGGAGAATCTTGGAGAGGGACACCAGGATCAGGAACAGGAGATTCCAGGAATGGGTGAACCCCGGGATTGGCAGAATCCCAGGAAAAGGAGAACCCCGGGATTGGGATCTCCTGGATCAGGGAGTTCAGAGCATCAAGGGGGGACCCCAGCCCCGGGACCCCCGGCCCCGCTGTGCTTCCTGCTGCCTCCCCAGCAGCTCCGGGGTTTTGGGGTACCCCTGGGGAGCAGGGCAGCCTCAGGGAGGTTTTGGGGTGCAGGATTTACCCGATGAGTTTTGGGGGTGCTCTTGGTGTGTAGGTCGTCCCCTTCAGGTTTTGGGGACCCTCTTGGGGTGCAGAGCATCCCTGTCGAGTTTCAGGGACAAATGTGGGGTTCAGAGTGTCCCCATCAGGTTTTGGGGACCCCCCTGCGTGGCTGTGCTGTCCCCAGAGCCGTGACCCCGGGGGCTCGGAGCCCCTTTTAGCCACAGATTTCCCCAAAACCTCCTTTATCCCCCGGATTTTGGGGTCGGGAGCTGCCAGAGCCCCCCAACCCCAACCCCACACCAAGCCCTGATTCCCTCCTGCCATAAATCCAGGGAAGAATTTTGGAGCCCTGGGAGGAGCTGAGGATGAGGGGGATGAAAGAAGGGGGAATTTGGGGTCAGGAGGGGATGAAGGAAGGGAGAGATCTGTGGGATCAGCCTCTGATTTAAAGAGAATTTCATTTTTTGGGATACCCCAACCATTCCTCTGTGCCACCCAGAGCCTTTGGGGCACCATTGGTGTTTTCCAGCCTTTCCCAAATTTTTTTTTTTGGTTAAAAAACCTTTTTTTCAAAAAAATATCTTACCGTGATGCTGAGGCTGCTGCATTCCAGGGGGATGAAGCAGCCTTGCCCTGACCCAGGATGTGTTCCCAGGGGTGGAAATGCCCTTTAAATTTGGGATGAGGCAGGGCTGGGAAGGGGTCACTGCCAGACAGAGCTCGGAGAGGCTGAAAAAAGCAAAATTTGCTCATTTTGAGCTTTAAATTTGCCTTGGGGAGGTCGCAGCACCCAAATCTCTCCATCCAAAAAAGCCTCAGTGGGGTCGTGTGGGGTGAGGCAGCAATTTGGGGGTGCTCAGCACCCCAAGAGCAGCTCAGCCCATGCTTCTTTTGGTAGAAAAATGGAATTTTTAGGTGTGGGAACAAGGAAGGGGGTGAGGGATGGTTGTCCCAGAGGGGTTTGGGGCTGTGGCCAAATTTTGGGTGGCAGGAGCTGGAGCCTCAAGAGCTCAGCTCTGGTCACAGGGAGCAGCAGGAAACTTCGCCAGGCATCATCCTGGGGAAAAAAAACCTGTGAAAAGCTCAGAAAAAAGATTAAAACCCAATATTTAGCTTAATTTGTTACAGCTGGTATTGAGAAGATGTGAAATGTTTGATAGAAATTTGTTTAGCAAAGAGCAGTTTGTTAATTAATTGATAGGAATGGTGTTTTAATTAATAGAGCTCAGTTGCAGTGGGGTGAAGGAGGTGCTGCCACGGGCTGGGGGTGTGCGGGTGTGTCCCCTGTCAGTGTCACCTGTGTCCCTGTCACTGTCACCTCTCCTAGTGTCAGTGTCACTGTCACCTCTCCTTGTGTCCCCTGTCATTGTCATGCCCTATTCCAGCTGTGTCCCCTGTCAATGTCACCTCTCCTAGTG